TTTAATTAAGAGTTGCTTATCTCATGCTCTGTTAATAGTCTACTAGGGCCTGCAACAGCCATAATTAAGGTTCGATAAACAGAGCAGGAGAGGAGAAATTTTAAAATAAAGACAATCTATCTGTTTGTAAGGTCTGGCCTGAAAAATAAAAACATTTTTGTCATGGAGGCTGTCAGTGCTTATATAGTGCAAAAACAGCATGGGACAAACAGGATAATTAGCTATCGGTTTGTCATGGTTACATACTCAACATGTATTGTCATATGATTGCTTACATCATAAAAAATGATCTACAAAATACCACATTTTAATTAGTCACGCTTTATCAGATGCTCACTAATTTCACAATAAAGAGCTCCATTCATATTGGCCGTGTATGCTTGTGATGTTAATTACAATGAAAAAAAGAAAAGACTCGAAATTCCCAAATGGTTATATACAGTCATATAATGCATCTATTTCTAACATATGATCCAAAAGTAACCATTTTAAAATTATATTCATATTTATTTATTTTTTGTGTGTCTTTCTTGTGAATACCTTTCTTAACAAAATAAAATATAAATATACTGTAGTCTCATATAACTTCTTATTCTTTAATGTAATCCTTTGCGCTCACAGTTTACTTGTAACGGTTGAAAAGGAAACATAGTTTCAGATTTTCATAATCTATTTCAATATTTTGGGCAGATGTGACAGCTCATGCAGATATTAGTTTATCCAAGCAATATTTACAATATTTTACATTTATAACAAACACTCAAAGATACTGGCATAATGTATATACTTACATCATTTAGCTATATTATTCATTCATGTCTACCTGTCATGGTCAGATTAAATACACTTGCCATCTATAAGCTTTAACGAGAACCTTAGTCTATGAATTATTCTATACCCACCTTTTGTAGGCCCATTGATGATTTCATCTTATATATATTATATTAAGTGATACATCTTTAAACATGTTAAAACACATTTTGCATCATGAATTAATTGTAGCCATGTGTTGAAAAAATCATAAATAAATAAAATTCTGGAATTTGTCTAAAGAGTTAATTGACAATTAATTAATATGTGTTTTAGCCAATAACAACAAGAAACAGACACCATTTTCCCATGACATTCATTATAAATGATCTGGTTATAGTCCTTTTAATGCACATTCCATTAATGACTTCCTCCTCATGTGTTCTAAGCCCTCATCCCCTGCCATGTTGCTGTGATGTGACTATACAGTGGGGGTGGGGTACATATGTAGATTTGGGTGAAATGATGACTGCATGATTGGACACATATTGCTTTTAAACCAAAGGCCAAATCTTGGCCCCTGGATATGTGTGAACTACATTACCCATAATGCTTTTAGACTGGAGCATTGTGGTAAATGCACTTGCAAAACATCTGGAAGGACCAGATTAGCCATCCCTACAACAACGGGTTTTGCAGTAGAAACACAATTTCAAATGTCATTCCTTAGAAAATTTCTCAAGGTCTTGGGAACATGATTGTAGTTGTTGTTGTTCTTCTGTCAATAAAATGGAAATAATGCCAACAAATGTCTGAAGTTGTAGTCAGTACAAAACAGAATACAGAATACAAAACATCAACATTCACAAAATGATGTGGACTACAAATCCCATTGTCCTCAGCTAGAAGCTGTAATACCAGCATCTGTCCATTCCTGCCCTATAAAGGTAGTGACTAAAATTTTGCACACACACAAAAAAAAAAAATTGTATTGACGTCAAACAGTGTTTGTAGCTGTTTTGGGACAGCCCTTTCTGCCTGTTCAGGAAAAGTTCAGTTTAAAAATGTCACACACTATTGACACTATCTGAAATAAACCAGCTCTCTGACTCCTGAATTGACATTATATCAGACATATAATTGTTATTACAGATTTCCGCATTTTATTTATTTTTTTCTTCTGTGCTTTGATTTCCTTTGTGTGTGTGTTTATTTTTTATTTCGTTCTATACAGCTCACAATAACGGAGAGGAAAACAAAATCTACCGAATTGTGAGAAGGTGAGGAAGAAGTTGAGATGAGGAGAAGGTTGGTCAAGGGTTAATTTTTAAATTAACAATTCGAATGATCTGCATGCCAACGTTCTATTCATTAACCCCTAAACTGTGGGATTGCCCAGCAAAAAAAGTTCTAATATATATATATTTAAAAAAATGATGGCGTTTTCTGCCACCAACTCCTCTCCATCCCAATGCAATTTTCTAATTAGTCAGTAATTATTAATATAAAAAAGCACCCGGCCTGCCTACTCTAAAAACTATTTAATATACTAAGAATATAAACAGAATATTCTGCAAACAATGACAAACATGTTGCAACATTTTTACTTTTCAAAAACTGCTTTTTCGTGTTTCATGTTTATTTTTAATTTAAAAAATATATATATTTTTGTAAAATGCTAATTTCTCTGGAAGTATATTTTATATTTTGATATGTGATTGGTTATAAACTTTATATTAATGTTTTTGTTTTACATTTTATTTTAAAAAATACTCTGTTCGAATGTTTTCTTTCGTTTAAACATGTTAATCTTGCTGATTAAAAATGCCATATTGACAATGTCATCGTATTTTCATAACTATATGCTAATTTATCTTTCGATCTTACGAATTTTCTATGTAAAATGGTCACTTACCTCTATTTCACTTTCATTTTCGAAAGATGAGGTTAAGTTGTGATTCCATTAATATATGCGTGTTCTGTATATGTTTGTGTGCAGAGGGGTGTACACAGATAGATATACAATTGTGTGATTGTGTGTGCACGCATAATGAAATGAATACAAAGATTATACATTTCATTTTCAATATTTTCAGTTAGAAAGTTAGAGTCTAAATTGTTTGTTCAACAAATAGAAAAACAATTCTTAGAACAAACAAAAACAAAATAGAACTCAGAGGCATAAAACAAACAACAAAAATAATATTGATTATAATAAACAAACAAAATAATAATGTTTTAATCTAATACAGTTGTTACTCTGCACAGCAGTACTTTCACCTGTGCTTCACCTGTAACTTCACAGATAGTATGGTCACATTATGGAACATAAGAGGTAAAATACACTTCTTAAAAGAGGGATCCTGAAACTGTCCATTCAGCCAGGGGATAAATCAAACAGCGTCAGAGGGGTCATCTTTAGAACATCATCTCATTCAACTACTTAAATGTGTCCTTTTCACCATCAACTGCAACTTAGAGATTTCTTTAAGCAGAGCAACAAAAAGATTTCACGCTTTGGTTGCACAGAACAAAGGGACCTCACGCCACTTTGTCCCCCGTGGGACGAATGGATGTTACAAAAAAAAAATTAGGAAAAAAACTTTGCACGGGGCTTGCAAGAAGTGTGTTGTATTTCTATGGAACTTTAGTGGTTACACACGAACATTTTTAAACATAATAGTTTTTTTCAAAAAAAAAGTATAGGTCTGCTGCTCAGTCTAAATTTTGTTGTGTGTGTATGTGTGTGTGTGTGTATGTGTGTGTGTATATGTGTGTGTGTGTGTGTATATATATATAAATATACATATATATATAGACAAATTGCATACATATACACTCACACACAAACACACACACACACATATATTATAAATATACACCCCCACACACACACACATATATTATAAATTTACATCCCCCCACACACACACATACATATATATATATAAAAAAATATACACCCCCCCCCCCACACACACATATATTTATTATAAATATACACTCCCCTCACACACACACATATATGTGTGTGTGTGTGTGTGTGTGTGTGTGTGTGTGTGTGTGTATGTATTGTTATATATAAAATAATAAATATCAGGAATGCGTTCTAAAAATTACATTTGGTCCATAGAAGATATTTTTAAAATTAGAAGAATTAAAATCTGGAAATGCCAGTTACTAGTGCTTAGAATAAGTGTAGGTAAAGTTAAATAAATTAACATTTGAGTTAAACTGCAGTTTGCCTGATAAGATTAGTTTGAAACAATATTTTCTTAGGCTATCTGTTACATGTGTAACTCATTAAAAAGCAAGTTAAGATATCCTGTATTCCACTCGCTAGCTGTACTTTAGAAATGTGTTTTGGGGGGCACAATCTAAGTATTATGTGTCACAGATTGCCATCCCCCAGCTATTAAATGGAAAATGGACATTATCATATACTGCTGGGTAATAACCCCTTTTACTGGGGCTCCTAATGAAACTTGTGATTAGAGAGTTAATTTGAGTAACCCATGTATTAATCTGCCTATATGTGACATGACATTAGCAGAGAATGCTATGAATGAATATGTAACCAGTGATATGTATATGATTTAATTAATATCACTCTAGAGGCAATACCACAATCAACTTCCAACAGAACACACACACAAACTGAATTATTCAAGTCAGTCAATATTTGTTGGTTTCGGTTTGTGTTTTCAGGGAGTTTATATTTTAGCGAAAATGTGCATTTTGTAGGTGAAAAATGAAATGAGAATGAATTCAAAGCACAGAAAAAAATATGTAGAAACGTTTGTATTGTAAGGAAGTATTGCTTTTGTTACCATTAATCACAATTAATTTACTTAAACTGGGAAGTTTATTAAAGTTTAATGTGCATGGATAATAATATATTTATAATGTAAGAAAATATTCCCTATGTTATCATTAATCACAATTAATTTACTTAGACTGTAAAGTGATGTGTTTGAATGAATTTATACAGTACTGCACTTTCTTGTATGTGTTTATATATATGAAATATGTATATGCACACACACAAACATATAAAAATATATTATTACATTTACAAATATTTTAATTACATTGAGAGTAAGGACGTTGATTGTTCCCTATAATCAATATCTAGATTTTTCTACACATTAATTTTATTAACCAAATTCTAAAAAAATAAAAAAATAAAACAAATTCATAAACATAAAATAAACACATTCATACACCTCCATAGATAAACCAGCACATTTATTTGTTTCAAGCGAGCTTTAAAAAATATATCATCTTTTTGTTTAAGTGTTTTACTTTTGTTTTCTATAAGGTATGTTTATGGAAGATACTGAAACAAAATTTATTTTTACTTTAACGCTAGAGCCTGGGGCCTTTTCTCATAAACAAGTATTTAAAAAAAACAAAAAAAACAATAATTGCATATTACTGTACACCTCCCAGAGAAGAGGATAAAAAGAAAAAATAATAAAAACCAATTTAAAAAAAACTAAAATTGCATAGACTTACCAGATCATGGATGCCATTTTTGAAAATAATTATATATATTTTTGCAGATATGTTTTCTAGCACAGACAGATGCAATTCGCTGCTCAAACTGATTGCCAGCAACGCTATAGATTAGCATGGGGTCTGTAGCACACGAGCCCTGATCAATACCCTTACACTCATATGCCAGATGGTTTGGGCAAAGACAAAAATAAAATAGTTTGAATCTCCTTACTACTTTTATATATATATATATATTTCAACTTCATGAGGTTAGAACAGATCTCACTTCTGACTTTTTTATTTTCCAACTATTTAAATTCATCAGATACCTTTGTACATTTTACAGGCTTTTTATTTGAAACCCTAATTATAGGTACAATGTATCAGTTCTACACATGCACCCTGCAATCAGTAGAAGCAATCTGCTGATGAGCTGAGTGTTTTTTTATATATACATATATTTCTAATTTTCCCTATATGTACAATGTAGTATTTTGGATTCTGGATTGACACAGAGGTTAATAAAAATTAACAAGATTTGCAACGACCTCTGGTATTTTTTATTTGTATATATTTTTTACAGCAAACACACCTTATGTTTAATGCTATTAAATCGCCATTGGCTACATTTTAAGCAGTCAAATCAATACTGTTTCCTGCTGCAGCTATAATGTGATTGTGCAGAATATTCAGTATGGCTAGTTGTTGTATCTGTTTGTGATAATAAATTACTAAATATGTTATCAGGAATCTAAAACACAATCCTTTTCACCTAAATTTCAATGACAAAATACAATCTTTGAAATTTTAGGCAGAGATTTATATTAAACATCGATACACCTGATACATTGATTTACTGTTGCATATTAACGACATATTAAATTATTTAAAGTCTATTCCTAAACAGAGAATAGCATTTAATTAGGCTCCTGTGAAGGAAATCATTGGGATTTGTATAAAACAAACAAAAAATATATATATTTTATATACAACACTTAACCACTGCAGATGGGTGCAAAATCTGTATGTTTGCAAAAGGCCATAGAAAGGATATTTTAAAATGTACAATTCCTGCTTTTTAGCCACTGTCTGTGTTTCTGCTAAAGTGTATAATGAAAGCATTGGAATATTGATCAGAATCATAATTTACCTTTAAATTCTACACCACGTGACTCTCTGGTTCCTGCAGCCACAAAGATCATATTATTATTGATAAGGCAAGTATTGCTTTAAAATGGGTTCATTTTAGATTTATTTCATTTTATTATTTTAGATGTCAGAATAACTGAAACCAGATTATTTATTTGTTGCTATTATTTGCTAAAACATAAAAGAAATATGTAGCATTTTTTTTCTGGGGAATTGCAGAAGTAAATTGCAGTGATATAGTTATTTTATTTATTTTTCTTATAATCTGTTTAATAGCCAACTACAGATCGAAGAATGGGAGTGGGCATTTGGAAAACAGAATCCCATCGTTGCAACAAATATATTTGGATATTGGATATATATTGCATTAATATATATTTCAAAATGCACAAACATGGGATTTTTTTTCTCGTGGTATTTATATATTAATTTGTAATTTTACTAAATACAATATAAATCTTAATATTCTGAATTCCTATAAAATCATGAATCCAACAGATAGCAACAATGAGTGGAATGCACAATAAACACGGATTGCGCGCGCACACAATACAGCTATAAGTGCAATAAATAGAATCTAGCAATCTAAATAGAAAATGATTATATATACATATATACATACATACATATACATTATGCGCATCTTATCTCTCTCTCTATAAATACATAGCTACACAACTCCACACACACATACGTATGTATGCATGTGTATATATATATATATATATATATATATATATATACTGAACATCCACATACAAATATATACATATATACAGTATAGAATTTTGCTGTGTGTGTATCACCTCTCTATCTTTACATATTTCCAATATCCAAGGCCTATTTGTATACATGTAATTGTAAGTACATTAGATAGCTAGCTAGCTAGATAGATAGATAGATAGATAGAAAGATAGATAGCTAGATAGATAGATAGATAGATAGATAGATAGATATGGGTGTAGATAGATGTGTGTGTGAATTAATGTATATATTGAGTGCTCTAGAATCTCAGACATAGCTGATAACATTCTAAGTAATAACATTCTATACCTGCCCCTCCCCCACCCAGCCCAGCCATAATTAATGTTGGGCATTCTATATATAGTGTATCCCTGTCCTGATTTTATTCCATAGAAGGAGCAGTGGCTGAGGCAGGGCTCAGTGAGAGTTACACTGATTTCTGACTCAAACCAGGCAGATTTTGTAGTTTCCTTGTTTTCTTACCAAGTTTTCTCTAACAGCTGGAAGTGGTCGGAGGGGGCTGTCTTTAAGGAGACCTCCTGCTCGTCCTTTGACAGCTGATCAAAAGAAAATAGGTCACGCTTTTCAAACGTATGTCCACCCTTTGCTTAATTACTGTGCCTTTAAACAAAGGTAACATCTGCGCAACCTCAGCTAGCCCAAATCTCCAGAATGAGGGACACCGACCTGCTCCTCCAGGATCTGTCACTTTCAGCCCTTAGATATCCAGGATCTCCTATTGTCCTCCCTGATCCCCACCGATTTGGCTTTTCTCTAGCTAAATGCAGCAAGAACTCCAATTATATGTATTTTACAACTAAAATGGCCATTTTTACAATAGGCTCTCTCCTGCTAAATATGGAATTATTTTTGGGGTGTTTTGTTCCATTAAGTGTCCGATTTTTTGACCCTCTTGAAATAAAGACAAGAAAATATAGCATGAAATCTAGCCTAAAAGATACACATTTACACGTGTGTGCATGTGTATTTAGATATATTGGGTATGTGTGTGTGTGTGTGTGTGTGTGTGTGTGTATATGTATATATATATATATATGTGTGTGTGTGTGTGTGTGTGTGAGTATATACATACACACTATATATCAAATATATTGTGGCCGAATATATCAGATAGATGCGCATAATGGCAAAATATCCAATTTAAATAGCTTGTGTAACAGTTTATAGACGTATACAGTTGTTACAGTATATTTTTACAATACATTAAATTATATTTTTAAATTGTGTTGCTTTCCTGTAAATTGCGTGCAGAATGGAATATGTATCTCTGATTGCATACAGTTTTATAATGATCATGGCAATACTAGTTGATCAATTTCCCTAAGAATATACAATGCCTTACTATGTGTGGCCTATTACCCAGCTGTTTTAATGTGTAAAATAAATATTATGTGAAAGAAAATTAATAAATAAAACAAACAGCCTTCAGAGCATGTTTACTTCCTATGCATTCTCTTTGAATTTATTTCAACCAGGTGAATACGCTGCATCTTTTGATTTTATTATTTGACATAGAACTGTCTGGGGCTAGCTGGGCATCACTTGGCACATAAATAGTTAATTTATTCATAGTCCTGTGGAGCTTGATAAAGACTGATGATGCTCAGCCAGCCACTGGTGGCTTAGGACAATTAGAGTGCCAAAGGTTACAGTGACAGCATTTGCACAACATATTTTCTTTTAACTCTTTGTGTAAAACGGATGAACAATCCAATGTATGTTATGATGCCTATATGTAAATGAAAAAGGATGGCCAGGATGCTCAGTGTAATCAGTGCTGGGCAGTAAGTGGTAAATAATTTTCCTTGGAATATTAACCCTTTAGAGGGACAGAGTTGGTTAACCCTTCCCTCTTGGCTGTATCCCCACAGCCCCCATACAGTGAGGGTTTGTTTAACCCATTAAGATGGCCAGGGTGCTCAGTGTAATCAGTGCTGGGCAGGAAGGGGTAAATAATTTTCCTTGCAAAATTAACCCTTTAGATGGACATAGTTGGTTAACCCTTCCCTCTTAGCTGTATCCCCACAGCCCCCATACAGTGAGAGTTTGCTTAACCCATTAAGAGGACCAGGATGCTCATTGTAATCAGTGCTGGGCAGGAAGGGGTTAATAATTTTCTTCGGAATATTAACCCTTTAGAGGGACAGAGTTGGTTAACCCTTCCCTCTTGGCTGTATCCCCACAGCCCCCCATCCAGTGAGGTATTGTTTAACCCATTAAGAGGACCAGGGTGCTCAGTGTAATCAGTGCTGGGCAGGAAGGGGTTAATCATTTTCCATGGAATATTAACCCTTTAGAGGGACAGAGTTGGTTAACCCTTCCCTCTTGGCTGTATCCCCACAGCCCCCATACAGTGAGGGATTGTTTGACCCATTAAGAGGACCAAGGTGCTCAGTTTAATCAGTGCTGGGTAGGAAGGGGTTAATAATTTTCCTTGGAATATGAACCCTTTAGATGGACAGAGTTGGTTAACCCTTCCCTCTTGGCTGTATCCCCACAGCCCCCATACAGTGAGAGTTTGTTTAACCCATTAAGAGGACCAGGGTGCTCAGTGTAATCAGAGTTGGTTAACCCTTCCCTCTTGGCTGTATCCCCACAGCCCCCCATCCAGTGAGGTATTGTTTAACCCATTAAGAGGACCAGGGTGCTCAGTGTAATCAGTGCTGGGCAGGAAGGGGTTAATCATTTTCCATGGAATATTAACCCTTTAGAGGGACAGAGTTGGTTAACCCTTCCCTCTTGGCTGTATCCCCACAGCCCCCATACAGTGAGGGATTGTTTGACCCATTAAGAGGACCAAGGTGCTCAGTTTAATCAGTGCTGGGTAGGAAGGGGTTAATAATTTTCCTTAGAGGAACAGAGTTGGTTAACCCTTCCCTCTTGGCTGTATCCCCACAGCTCCCATACAGTGAGAGTTTGTTTAACCCATTAAGAGGACCAGGGTGCTCAGTGTAATCAGTGCTGGGTAGGAAGGGGTTAATCCTTTGCCTTGGAATATTAACCCTTTAGAGGGACAGAGTTGGTTAACCCTTCCCTCTTGGTTGTATCCCCACAGCCCCCATACAGTGAGGGTTTGTTTAACACATTAAGAGGACCAAGGTGCTCAGTGTAATCAGTGCTGGGCAGGAAGGGTTTAATAATTTTCCTTGGAATATTAACCCTTTAGAGGAACAGAGTTGGTTAACCCTTCCCTCTTGGCTGTATCCCCACAGCTCCCATACAGTGAGAGTTTGTTTAACCCATTAAGAGGACCAAGGTGCTCATTGTAATCAGTGCTGGGCAGGAAGGGGTTAATAATTTTCCTTGGAATATTAACCCTTTAGAGGAACAGAGTTGGTTAACCCTTCCCTCTTGGCTGTATCCCCACAGCCCCCATACAGTGAGGGATTGTTTAACCCATTAAGAGGACCAAGGTGCTCAGTGTAATCAGTGCTGGGCAGGAAGGGGTTAATAATTTTCCTTGGAATATTAACCCTTTAGAGGAACAGAGTTGGTTAACCCTTCCCTCTTGACTGTATCCCCACAGCCTCCCATACATTGAGGGATTGTTTAACCCAGTAAGAGGACCAAGGTGCTCAGTGTAATCAGTGCTGGGCAAGAAGGGGTTAATAATTTTCCTTGGAATATTAACCCTTTAGATGGACAGAGTTGGTTAACCCTTCCCTCTTGGCTGTATCCCCACAGCTCCCATACAGTGAGGGTTTGTTTAACCCATTAAGAGGACCAGGGTGCTCATTGTAATCAGTGCTGGGCAGGAATGGGTTAATAATTTTCCTTGGAATATTAACCCTTTAGATGGACAGAGTTGGTTAACCCTTCCTTCTTGGCTGTATCCCCACAGCTCCCATACAGTGAGGGATTGTTTAACCCATTAAGAGGACCAGGGTGCCCAGTGTAATCAGTGCTGGGCAGGAAGGGGTTAAGTGCGGCTCGGCCGCTATTTCACCCTTCTACTGAGACTGAAGCAATGTGAAGCTCCGCTCAACCAACCTCCCAGAGGCTAGCCCCGCCCCCAGCCCCCGGATTGGTCCGCGCTCTCAGACGCCGCGCCGGGACCGAGAAGCCGCGCTCCGCGATTGGTTGCAGGTCTTGTCAGCCAAGCGCTGCGCGGCCCCGCCCCCTCCCCCCCCCCCTCCCAGCAGGCTAGGTAGCAAGATTCAGCAAAGCCATTCTGGACAGCTCCGGCTGGCTGCACACACGGCGTCAGAGGAGGAGAGCGGCTCGGACATGGCGAGGAGGAGCGGCGCTGGCCCGTCTGACAGAGCTCGGTGAGCGGACCCTCCCTCACAGCCAACTGGCCCCCACCCGCACTCAGCACGCACTCACACCCGCACTCACACTCACCCTCACCCTCCCTCACACAGCAACTTCCGAGGCCTTAAATCCCCCCGGCCCCCAGACCGGCCCCCATGGACTGACCGAGCGCGGGCTGCATGAAGACTGCCTTTAGATGCCTGACCAAGGAGCCGGCAGCGTGCGCCATGAACCCGGAGCTGAGCATGGACAGCATGGGCGGTCTGCACGGCGGGAGCAGCCATGAGCAGGATGCCATGAACAGCCACAGCCCCCACCATCACCACCGCAGGATCCACCACCACCACCAGGAGCGCTCCGCCATGGTCTCCAGCATGGCCTCCATCCTGGACGGGGACTACCGGCCGGAGCTGTCCATCCCCCTGCACCACGCCATGAGCATGCCCTGCGACAGCTCGCCCCCCGGCATGGGCATGAGCAGCACCTACACCACCCTGACCCCGCTGCAGCCACTGCCGCCCATCTCCACCGTGTCAGACAAGTTCCACCATCACCACCACCCGCACCACCACCACCACCACCACCAGCGGCTCTCCGCCAACGTCAGTGGCTCCTTCACCCTCATGAGGGATGACAGGGGGATCCCGGGCATGAACAACCTGTACAGCCCTTACAAGGACATGACTGGCATGGGGCAGAGCTTGTCCCCCCTCACGGGCTCCCCGCTGGGGAATGGTCTGGGGTCCATCCATAACACCCAACAAAGTCTCCATAACTATGGACCTCCTGGCCATGAGAAGATGCTCAGTCCAAATTTTGATGCCCACCACACTGCCATGCTGGCAAGGGGGGACCAGCACCTCTCCAGGGGTCTGGGGACCCCCCCTGCCTCCATGATGTCTCACATCAATGGGATGCATCACCCTGGGCACCCTGGCCATGCTCAATCTCACGGGCCTGTGTTGTCCTCCAACCGTGAAAGGCCACCCTCCTCCTCCTCTGGATCTCAGATGAACACCTCTGGACAGCTGGAAGAGATAAACACCAAAGAAGTTGCTCAGAGGATCACTGCAGAGCTGAAAAGATACAGTATCCCCCAGGCTATCTTTGCCCAGAGGGTGCTGTGTCGGTCACAGGGTACCCTTTCAGACCTACTAAGGAACCCAAAACCTTGGAGTAAACTGAAATCTGGGAGGGAGACCTTCAGGAGAATGTGGAAATGGTTACAAGAGCCTGAGTTCCAGAGGATGTCAGCACTCAGGCTAGCAGGTGAGTTACAGGGTGGCTTACTTACCATGTCCTTCAGGAAACCCTTCTCATACCTGAAATCAATATATTTTATCTGACATCATTGTGGTTTGAGTGTTAGGAGAGGAGCACGATTTACCTATAAAATTATTCTTTAACACACTAATTCATGTTTTGTGGTGAGTCCTTTAGTGTTTTGTCACTTGCTGTCTGTAAAATTGAACATTCTTTGTTTAAAAATAAGAAGAGAACGCTGACAAATCTTTCCTTTGTCAACAAAAATATTCCTCATTTTCTGAAATGCAGCATTCTATTGGTAAAATCTGTTGGCAAAGCACTTGAGGTTTGGGTCATTTTCATGCACTGCTTGATGGCTTTGGAACTCAAGTGTGAGCACATTGGATTCCTTCATCTAGAAAGTGTATATTATCTTAAAATAGGAGGCTTTTTTTTTGTGAACGTAACGGTGTTGAAATTCTTTTTATATTATTTTTAAGAAGTCACACATGATTGTCGTGTGCATGAGCACAAAATTGGTTTACAGACACCTGAAAATCAGAGAAAACAATCGATTTTAGGATTCTGCACTGTACATTGTTCCTTTTTTATTGTGGCTTTATTTGCTCCCCTCTAGTGGTTGTAAAGTGGATTGATTGTGTCTTTTGTTCTGATGTGGTATGCTGGCCTCACCAGTATTAACCAAAATATCAGATATATAAAAATAATTTTTCTTTTACGGATAGAGTTTTGTGAGTGTCAGCATATGTATTGGTTAGATTTATATAACAAAGCATTTTCTGTTAAATTACAAACATGCTAAAAAAATTGGGTGTAGTTCACAGAGCAAATGATTTCTAGTATTGAAAATAATTATTCTTTTCTTAAGTAATCTCACAGAGCTTGCATTTGTTATTAACTATTTGGACAATGAATACAATTCCTGATGTGAGTGAATTATCAGATGGACAAAAGAATTGTACACTCTAGATAGCAGGTCTTATGATGCACCCAATACACAATGTCAAACAACCCTTTAAAATGACACTTGGCTATAGCTGCAAACTAAGACTGTAAAATCAACATTTACCAATTTTCATTCTACCGTTTACAGCATGGTGATCCTGACTGTTGTTTCCTTGTGATAAAATAGTCATTATTGGTTATTGATTAAGTTAACCCTTTGTCATCTGATGTGGTGCATGTTACTCCTGCACTTCAGGGATAATAGTAAAGCGGTCCAATGGCCACTTCAGTGCATATTCTTTTAAACTGTATGCATTCAGTTGAAAGAGGCTTTATTATTTTTCTTTGTTCCATATATAGTAGCAATTTATATTTTGTTGTCACAAATGCATTTACTGTAGAGTACTGATTTACAGAGTAATGTGTCTTGCACAGCCTCATAAAATGCAACATCTTGCTTCTGCAATTTTGTGTATGGTAGGAAAAGAAGATTTTGTTGTGGGCCACTTGAAATTTTAAACACACAATACCTTTCTTTTTGCACTTAATTATTGGACTGTAAAGTGAAGCCCGTGGATTGAAAAGGAAAATGGCCAGCAATGTATGCTGGTCACGTAGAAAGTCAGCACAGAGTAGAGACTTGCTATGTGCTTCTGATTTTAATCATTTGGAACAAATTAATATCGATACAATATTTAAAGCACATTTTACTAGCTGAAAATGTCCTGTGTTACTGCTAAACATGTAGACAATTATTGTCTCAAGTGATCGCACAATTTGCAATATATGCACAGATCCTGAATGGGCATATTAGAGACATAATTACATTATATTATTAACCCTTTATTTTCATAAACTCCAACTGCATCTCATAGACCGGTCAGTTAATATGGGTATTCTGTAGTACAATTAAATTGCATTTTATGTAATAAGGAGGAGCTGGACATGGTCAGAGAAGAGCATTGTGTGCTGGTTTAGCTACAGGGAATTAAGAGAGAGTAGAAGCCATTTCTATGAATTATTGATAGAAATCTCAGATCTGGAGAGACCAGTGTCACTTGCTTTGAGTTAAACAGGCACAATCCTGCAGTGTGGGGGTCTGCAGATCAGACACTGTTCTGTAAAGCCCCCAAGCTGAGAGACTCTTGCAAGGTGAGAGATGTTTAGATACAGAGCTGTCCTGGGCACTCATGATAAATCTCTTTTGTTCTGGCTCCTTTACAGTCTGTATCTTCCAGGAGTAAAATCCCCAGTATGCAATGATTTATACACAATGTACAGAGAACTAATGATTTTTATATAGATAGATATATTGTTTGCAAGTGCAAAGCAAAACATTAACTAATATATAAACAAATCAGACAAAAACATGCACACTGGAAGGTTCTTCAAATACGAAATGAAAATGAAAGTACTAATATTTAATGTTTATATATTTATAAATGGTAACATTATTGAGACACCCATATCTATCTATCTATCTATCTATCCATCCATCCATCCATCCATCCATGGTAGTACATTTTGACATTTTGTGTGATTGATTTTTCTTAGATGGAAATGTTGAATATGTATTTTTTTATCGAGTGATCTAGCTGTCATAACATTACAATGCACCTTGTTTTGCGGTTTCTCTTCTGAATACATGCCTATAATTATACCATAAAGGCATGCTCTTTTTCTTTTCTGGATATTCTGAAAGGTACTGGTTCTTGATCTATGTATTTATTCCATTCTGGAAGATCTACAAGTTTATTGTCCTGAAGGGAACTCCACTTCTTCTGTTCTCATTGTTAAGCCCCCACCACCAAAAGCCTGACCGCTTCATGAAGTTAGGTGTCATTGTCCTTAAACCTTGTTTGCCTCATGACTGTGTGATCACTAGCATTTTAGTAAAATGATTTATAAATTATTTCAAATATCCAGTTTAGATTGCAAGCTTGTTGGAACAGGGTCGTCTTCACCTCTTGTCTTTTGTTTATATTCTGTATGTAAATAACTTGTTGTAAAATATACCCATTCTATAATTGTAAAATACTGCGGAATATGTTGGCGCTATATAAATGATGATAACAATAAGTTTAACTCAACATAATGAATGCTGGCCTTTTTTTAATTTTTAATTATATTAATTGCCATTGTTTTTATAGTATAATATACACCTTTTCTGTGTACTAGGGCACTTATTGTCAAATAGTTCATTCAAGTATTCTGAGTGTAAGTGGTTTGAATGTGTGTGTATGTGTGTTTAGAGTGTTCACACATTGCTTCAGTTTCATTACTGCCAAAGCAGAATATATATATTTTTTTTGTGTTAATTTCATGAAAGATCAAATGGATATCCTGTATGGGCAAAAATACATTTGAAAAAGGACACTGTTGGAATTACAAGGGAATGGCTGATATTTTTTTCCTTTTTTTTTACAGTAAGCATTGTATTCCCCCACATGTTCAGCTTGTTGGGCTGAATATATAAATAATTAAATATTTTGCCGCTTGACATTACCATTGAAACCCCCTATGGATCACTAACAGCTTTTTAATATGCGTTAGTGCGGGGGTCTCTTTAAATATAGGTCAGTGTAGCGGGAGCAAATCGGCACACAATGGCCAGTGAATTATAGGGGTTCCACATTTGTCGCGGTATTTAATCTGTGGGATTTAATGTGTCCTGCGTCTTTCGTGATTTTTACAAATTACATTTTCCGCATAAATCAATGTTGTTGCTTCTTAGAGTTCCGCTGCCCTCCACGTACTTGGAGATGTTGGATGATTTGTATTTTTTTTATGTAAAATATGAAGGTTGTATTATCCGTTATATTTGCTATGCATGTATTTAAAATTAATTGATTATACTCGCACATATGTGTGTCTGTGTATAACGCACCATATTCTACTTTGTTAAAATGATTAGATATTTGGATGTTTGTCTTTTAGTAGTTACGGTGTTTATTTAATGTGTTTGAATTTGAATGAGCTACACCTTTCCGATATTCTTCGCCCTGATGTACATTGACATTAAGAGCAGTGTAAACCCCAGACTAATTTCCATAATCAGGAATATTTAGGCGGGGGGGGGATGTGTCTACCCTCTCACTGTCAGAATCTCACACATTCTATATATGGTGCCAATCGATCCACACAATGTTCGGAAGATTAAAAGAGCACTAATTCTACGAGCAATATTACAAATGTGTGGACCCAGTTTCGATTGATCTGGAAAGCGATCTGCCTTGTTTCCAGTAAAGCAAGATGCATTTCCAGCATGAAAACTCCTCCTCTGCCCCCCTCCCCCACTTGTCTCTTTTTCTCCTCCTGTCCCAGGACATCTCCAATTCTCTGGGATCAATTTGTTGAATAAGCAGATTGGGAGAGATAATTGCTCCAACGTGGCATTTCCTCTTTTCTCCTGAATTCATGTTCCTATCACACACAAAGATATGTAGCACTATGACAATAAAGCAGTCTGCCGCCCTTAGGAGTCCTACACAATTTGGTTTTAGTATTATACGATGACAGTTGTGCTACACTGAAAAGTCCAATGTCCAAAGTTCACGTTTATTCATGGTTACTTTCAGAACTTCACTTGACAAACTTTATACAACGCTCTACAAAAATATCTTTACGTACTATAGCCAAGGCTTATTCTCTGCCACAGAAATAACCTCATGTGCTATGACCCAAACCTCATTGCGTCCTACAGAAATAGGTACACAAGCTAAGAGAATATCCTTTACATGTCCTACAGAAATATCTGTATCTCCTTTAACCAGGCCTTACGACTTGCCATGCAGAAACATCTGTGTGTGCTATACATTGTATTGTATACCCTAGAAGTATCTTTATATACTATAATAGTTAATCCCACAGAAACCATAGGATCATAGGCTATATCAAATGTATATAGGCTAGTAATACAAACGTACATGATATATACATATATATAAAACATTATTAAATAACATTTATTTTTACAATATAAATACATGTTATAACCAAGTTTCAAAATGTGTTATACAGCAATTCCACTGAATGCCCCCAACAGGCCTTTAATAAAGCCCTATAGACCTCTATGAACAAATTTATTTTCACACAAAGAATTAAAGTAATTTTCTGAGATAGGTGAAATTACATGGAGCATAATATCCTCTGCTTTATGAGTAAACGTAAAAAATAAAAATAGAAAATCAATTTTCTTCCTGTCTCTCTGTCTGTCTATATATACATACCCAAACCCCAAGTATAAAACACTCATCTTTATTAAACTTACCGGTATTAAATTAAAGGTGGGTGGCCTTTATTCAAATCTAAAAGCAATAAAGAAATGCATACAAAATACATGTTTGATAAATGTTTGCTGGTATTTTATACCCATGATGAGCAGTGATCTGTTGACTGTATTCCTGAACTTTATTATCATTATTTTCAAAGTATTTAGCCAGCAATAATACATTTGGCCTTGTTGATTTACAGGTGTAAATAGGTAAAACTAGTATGTTTTAATACCTATTTTCCAGTAAAATATAATTCTTCCTAGCCTTGTATATGACCTTTTTAAAACACTTTTGTTTATAAATAATAGACATAGAACTAATACAACCATTATTATTAGAAACAAGACAATCCTGCTTAAACAAGCTCCATCGTTTAATAATGCGGGTACCAACATTCATATACATATTGAAAAAGATGAAAATGTGTATTAGATCATTGATATTTAAAAGGGGAATGTAAAGGCCATTCTTGAGAGCCAGGCATATTGTTTTCATGGTTGTTGCATGTAGCAATTACTAAATCTGTGGCCCCTATACCGAAATTGAGTAGTATGAAGTGGCCAGGCATGTTATTCTCAGAAATTATTGAGAATTTCTTGTTCTATGTAAGACTGGCACTAAGCTGGAAAATATGTTCATGTAAACGCAAATTAGAATCAATGATGTACTGTATATGGGAGAAATAGGGTCTTTGCATAGCAGGAACCAAGTTATAAACTATAGTAAAAAGCTGCTTCTTAATACGTTTGCATAAGGATAAGAGCCTAAGAGAATATTTTCTTTTTTTTGCTAAAATGTGGCTTTATGATTCTGCAGTAAGACAAGCTCCGTCCTGCAACGAGTCTACGCAGAGCTCAGCGTTGGAGCTCAATGTGCAGGCTTTGAATCTCTTGTATCCTGCAGCGAGGTGTGTTTATCTGTAAAGAATACAGCTTGATGCTGCTACAGTCTGTTCTAGTGTGTTGTGCAACATGATTGGTTGAATGTATGAGGTTCGTTGAATGCAAAGAAATCCTTGCCCATTGGCCTTTGCTGATTAAATATTTGTATTTTCTGCAAGGTAGAAGTTAAAATGATCTCAAATTCTGTAGCTATAACGGTTTTATTGCTATATGAAGAATGTTGGAAAATTCCAATCTAATAATTGCAGTTAGGTAATTCTTCATTCCATTGTTAGCGACATTCTGCGTTGTTTGGTTTAATTCTATAGCTACCAGAGCTGAAATATGATGTGTGTGTGTGTGTGTGTGTTTATGTGCAATGAAATCAGGAGACTTAATGGGGAATCCCAATTCATGTAGATATTCTATGAAAGTAATTCAATAAAACTTGCAAAAATTTTAGTTATTTCATGTAGTGTCAGACTAAATATACTAAGGTCATGAAATATCATGAAATCCCAATTTTCCTTATAAGAAAAGTGTTTTATATAGCTTTCATAGATCATTTCATGTTTCTTGATTTGAATTATTAAATAAATAAAGACACAGAGGGCAGTGTAAAAGGCACAAATAACGTGTCTACAATATGTTGGATCTTTGTAAATATTCAATAGTGGTTTGGTAGATTTTAACTGAATTAAGATAAGTATGTATACAAATATACACACAGAGACCTATAATATGGCAGAAAAGAAACTATATATGCAGCCTTTCAACAAATGGTATGTTATTTTCTTTACTGTAACACTAATAGAATAAATCTGGCATTACAACTTTAGTACTCTTTATCATACGTATATATTTTAACGTATCCACTCACTATCATATAAAACAAGCGCACCCTCTCTAATTGAGGTCATGGAGAAAGGCAGGCTTTGTGTAGGCTATAAAGACCGTAAGATAATTTAATCAGGCCTGGACTTTGCCTTTCCTAATCAAATATAGATATTTTCCCTCACAGGGGATGGACGAATATATATATATATATATATATATATAAAAAGAGTTTTTGTGTTTGTCTTTGCAAGCGATTTTACAACTCACAAAGGATACTGAAAGGGTTAAAAAAAAATGCAATTAGCTGATCAATAGTTGGTATTTTTTTTAATGAAGAATCTTTATGTCCGGGAATTCTGTATTGGGATTTCTGTATACCGTGATAGCACATGTGCCATTTTTTTATTTACAGTCATAAGAATGGATTGTAAGCTCTTTGGGACAGTCACGATTCCTTGGTTACAGAGCAGGTGGGAGGTGCCAAGGTAACACAAGAGGGTGAATTGTGTTGGCAATGGGAGGGCTAGCCTGTTATTGAGGGTTGTAAACACATATTCATTGATTTACATTTGTCAGAGAAGAAAGTTAACGCACTGAATAGAAACAGTTAGCATTTTATGCAGGGCGAGGGAAACCTTTCCTATTGATCTTATTGATGTTTTCTATCCCTTTTACAAAACCACACAGTTAAAGACCCCTTGTGCTCAATAGATTTACCTCTCCTGCTAAAGACACTCACTTTAACTGGTGTAATGTTGTAAGAGCTCATTCCAAAGGCTTAGATACAGGCAATTGATACTGAATTGCATGGCAGACTGATCCACGCATTTAACTTTAAAAAGAAAAAAGAGAAAATGTAACTATTTTCATAAGGTATAATATTAAATAAAGAAACTAAGAATTATTCAATATTATTAAATCTGTTGTCTCGAAACACAAAATTGTATTCTGTTCGATTTCATGCCACAAAGCAGTAATGAAAACTATCTTAAATAAAACAAAATATATATTTTTGTGAAATTATGTATTTGCACACATAATTTAAAAATAATTAACAGATGTCATTATAGTTTCAGATTGAAACCTAGACTTTATATCTATCGGGGGCACTACAAAGAGAATTATGCTAAATAAAAATTGTTCACATTTGTGTGTCTTGAAGTGCAATTATTATAATTTAGAAAACAAAATATTACTCTTCATATATATATTATATTTTTATGGAGAATTCTGTGCCTTGTAAGTTTTGGTTTGTTTGTTAGTTTTTTTAAAAACTCCATTTTATTTAGTTAAATAACATTTAAAAAAACCTCTTATATTCTTATTGAGACACCCCTGTGCTCTCATATATATTTATACTTATTCAAAGTGATATTTGCTATTGTGAGATTTTGTATTTAGGATGGGTGTTCTTTATAAAGCATTCTAAGGCCACATTCTAAAAATGGAACAATCCATTACACCAGTTTTACACCTTTGTCCCAATATATATGGCTTTTATTTAAGATACACTTCTGTTTGTAAATAAAATATCGCCGCACTATTAAATTTACGATACATTATTTAAATGGGGCTAAATATTCATAAGCACAGTGATAATTCGTTATTCTTGTGTAAGAAAAGTAACCAGAACTTTTGAAAATAATGTTTTAGAGACAGACAGGTGTATAAAGGACAACTTGGTGAAAAACGTTTCAGATGCTCAATAACAAATTATTTAACGTTTAATAGATTTGATCGACAAAACGTATACAACATTTTATTTATATCAAAGTAAATGGAAATTAAGAAGGAGATGCTTGTAAAAACAAACAAAACAAATAATTGTATGAATATTGTTAAAATGGCAGGCAGTCTGTAGAGGAGTGTATAGGAGTTGCATGGTACCTGGTGGGCCTCTGGATGAAATATTTCTTCTTTAAGTATGGGACACAGTATTTAACTTTGGCCTTTTCCTGTCACTTTTCGAGTGCCACCAACGCATTACTAGTGGGTAGGTTTGCTTCATTTGTCCTCCTTTTTGTACCCAGGACTGCCCATTAGCTTGCTAACAAAGTATTACTTTACTTTACCACTTCACCATTAAGCTGATGCATAACTGACCTGATTTAGCTTTGATACAGGATATCATAAGACATCGCCAGGGACAAATGTTGGGAAAGCCATGACTTAATCAGGACTCTGTCACTAAAAATAAAATAAACATTTGGTAATTCAATCACAATTAAAACTTTTTTTTTTTTACATTTATTTTTATTATAGAACCATCATCTCCTGCACATATATATATATTCTTTTTAAGGTGGACAAAGTCTACTATAAACCATGATATTATTTTTATTATTTATATATACCAATTTCTGAATAAAAGCACATAAAAGAGAGCATATGTTAGTGTTTGTTTCTTTATCATATATATTTTTTAAAATTTTTATTATTTTCTTTAATGTTGCTATAGGTAGTATTTCTTTCCATTTACTCCTGGACTGGAAAATACAATGGAGGTGCACAACATTTATTATTTCCCCCATTACACAGTTAAACATCTTATTCAGAAGGAATACATATTTGTAATATTTGTTATTTTTATTTGTATATTATATTATACTTTTCTAAAATCTAATACTTCCATAAGTGAATGTGCTTAAATACTCTTTCTCATATTCTTTTTATATTAAGTACGACATAATATTATTCATTTATTTGTTTAATACTAATGGACATTATATATAGGAAGTGAGAATTCGAAGTGAATTTCTAATTTAAGGCCAGATTACCTGGTCTGCAAACATAGCTGACATTGAGAATTTCTCTAGTTTGGTTAGTTTGACGTGAAATTTGAAATTCACTTGGAATTGTAGTAAATAACCTTATGCATCTTCTGCACATAAACATGTATACAAAAGAAATCAGTATGTTAAAGATTTAATGTTTATTGATTTTTTTTTTTAACTGCATCTTTACTGGGGATTTTAGCAGAACTCCAACAGTTTGTGTGTATTTTGTTTTGTTTTTGGTTTGTTCATTCTGCACACATTTATAAGGAGCATATATGTCCTGTAATCATGTATTTATGTTTATATATTTCTTACATGTATTGCTACACTATGTAGACTTTATGATTTTGTTTATCTCGCTCTAATTGCGCCGGTCTTTTTATAGAATATAAATATGATTCATTCTTATGCAATAATAGGTGACTGTTTGTTTTACTGAGTTCAAAGGGCAGAGTTCATTTTGGGTTGTTTGTATTCTGTACACACTTAAATTCTCCTGAAATATATTTTCCTGTATAATACGTCATATTATTTTCTCAATCCAATATTTAATTTGCAATCTCGAATATTTATATTTATCATATATGAAAGGGAGTACAGGTATTTTTTATTGTCTCCCTTTTAGCCTATAATATATCTAATCAATTTGTGAGAATAAGACTAAGAAAGAAGAGACCCTTTCAAACATTTTGCTTATTGATCCATTTTCATTACCAGAAGACATTTTTTTTTATATGGTTGAAATCAGAATTCTCAATATAACCTATTCTACTAATTTGTGATATTTTTTAATGGTTTTAGTCTTGTGTTTTGTTTTCTATGTAACTGTAAGCGTATCTTTTGGTTGTACGATGTATTGCATGCAAACCTGTTTAGGAGGAGGAGTTTCTGTTCTTGGTTTTAGCCGCCATACAGGGCCAGATCATTTGACCTTTCACTTCCCATTCTCTGTGCCAAATGCCAGAGTCTGTTGTTTGTGTAAAAAGCTTGTAGACCTCTACCTTTCCTTGCGACGCTGGTCTCTGCTGCATCAGAATGACAAGTGAACTAATCTATTTTTGTACAGATCTGTCCCTGTATAAAATTGAATTTTGTAATTATGGAAAAAATGAAGCAAATGAAAAATGTAAACTCAGAATGTTTATTTTTAAAATATATTTGATGAGTTAAATTACATAAATAGATTTATGAGTGTATTAATAAAATATTTGGAAAAAGAAACGCATGGATTGAGAGAGATGTGTGATTTGTTGAATCAAACCTGTCCTATAAAATACACACATATATATTTGTTTATCAAATGTGCAATACCTACACAAATTGTTAAATGAAATGCAAAATCGATTCTTCTGTTTATACTTTCACACTACTTATTGCTTTGGATTTTCTATCATTCTTTTTCCTGTTTTGTGCATATATATCTACATGTCTTTCCATCTGTCAGTCTACCCTTTCATCTGTATGTCTTTCCTTAATTCTATCAGTCCGTTTCTCTACTCTCTACATTTATTAATTTACCACCCTTAGTTGATATCGTTTGGTAATATTAAAGACAAGGTTTAAAAAGAGGAATAATGATTTGGAACCTCATATCATATAAAAGGAAATGCATGAACAGGGTCTAACCCTCCCTGCCTAATACAGTGTAAATGGTAAATATTAACTTCTTATTGACCAATGCCTAACTATTAGTTTTGAAGGAAGTAAATTTCACTTGAACTCTTCAGAGTCCACATTAAAACAAAATCCCATTCTCTCTATTTCCCCCCCACCCCCCTTCTGTTAATCCTAGTTGATGGATATTTTATATATCGTAGAAGGACAATTCCAAACACTTGATGAAAAGGACCTAGTTGTATTCATGTTAATATTAAATGAATACTGTACTGGTATAACATGCTTCTTCTATCATATTAATATTAGTACATGTTTGACATGGTTTATTATTGTCTATTCGCACAGATTCTTAATGCGACAAAAATATATTCTGATTGTATGTTAATTAATGCATGTTTGTGTGTTCACTAGTCATCCTCTGTATACTAAGGTTCAAAGATCAGAAATATTTGACAGTAGAGAGTCTGGATTATTTCATTTTTCTGAGATTTTTATAATTACTTATGCTGAAAAATTTTCAGTGCGAAGATGCCATTTAGGCAATTTTAAGGTGATATTTTCAAGATTAATGAGTTAATCTTTAAAATATTTGACATACTAAGGTACAAATGTTACAGTAATTTGACTAACAGTGGAAGGAGAGGGAAATGATGGTCAAACAAAACAGGAGTATATATAGGAAATGTTTAAAATGAAATGGTGCTATTCCGGGGCAAATTACTAAATAAGGAGCAGTCACCATGGAAACGAATAGAACATCTCTCATCATATATCACTTTGCACCCAAAGTAGCAACAGTTTTGCTCTTGATAAATCTCCCTGTGATTTTTTTCTGAGCATTATTTAATATCTATACAGTTTTCATCAATATTCACAAAGCCAAAAAAGTTATAAACGGTTCATGGAATGTTAACCCTGAAAAATGCAGTTCCACCTTTGGTATTTGGTATATATGCATATCCTTGTTAATGCTATTAATATGGGATCTAGCTATCAATCTTGGTACATAAATAATGTATTACATAGGGTGATCCCAGGGTTTATGTGCTCAAAGGTCAAGGGAATGGAAGGGTTGTAAAGCAGTACGGTCACCGTCTGGGGACTATGCATAATTTACCATGCCATTTCTAGTGGTCAGGTGTGACAGAGAGATTTTCTCACCTGAACCTGTCCCTCGCGGGTACCACCATCATCTGCTGTCCAGTCCTCCTCCACTCTTGGCGTTTTCAGCACAGGAGCCGACGTCACTGCTGTACCCTCACGCTTGCGCAAGACTATAACATTGAGGTCTATGGAGGACCTGCGAGACCGCAGGATCCTCCATAAATACAGCTGATATCTCTGCAGCCATCACAAGTGACAGGTGGGAGATTGACACTTCTAGATGGTGATAGCGCCACCAAGTGTCTAGTAGTGCCAGGTATAGTCCCTACTTTGTCTCAGTCTATCTTTTAACTGGGTTTTTAATATCAGTGAAGTTCCAAAACAGTCAGTATGGGTATTTCATAAAGATTTTATCTTTATAAAATGCCAATTTTTGGGGGGTGGGAGTGTGTGTTGTGGCAGGGGGGAGAGTAATAGTGTCACTTTAATAAGGGTATGTTAAGGGATGATAAATGGGGATGCCCTGTTGAAGAACCAGGGTTTAGTTGACTGAAAACTGGGGTGGTTCTCTGCTCTGATTGTGAGCTTGGAGGTTCCCAAGGAGATGATCAGAGGTTGAACTTTTTAATGTGTGGTTGTTTTGTGCAGTGTCCTTTGTGCTATGTGTAAAGAGCTTAAAGAAGTGGATTGTTCCTTCACTGGCGTAGTTTGAACAGGTCAATGGATTTTTTTATAATTGATATGAAGGTAACTTGATAGCAAATCTTGAATGCAGAAGGTGTTCTTGTCACCTAGGTATATGACGACATGTAGAGTAATGGTCCATTTTATTTAATTTTTGCTGCTTCCCTTGTTTTAGACTTATTCTTCATATAGAGTCCTTGGCAGTGCCTTGGTTGTGGTTTCGTGGAGGGGCAATCTAAAGGACATAACCTATTGCAGTTTTGGTGGAGGATGCAAGGTCCATAACATCTTTCATAGTCTAGTAACTGGCTTTGTTCATCTCAATACAGGGGGTATAGAAAAGGTCCACATCCCTTATGTATGTGTATTGTCTTTTCAGTGCTGTTATAGGCAAGCATTAGTGGCATTAGCTGTGACTCTACTTTTGTTTGACTGTGACTCATGTCACTCTATTTGTCTAAGGTGTTGCAGTCCATTACCCGAAAGGTCATAAGTTGTTCATATTTCCCTAAGAATTCTAGAAATAGACTGAACACTCTGCAACTCACTCCCTTCCAGAGTTTAGCTCAATAACTATTGAAATGTTTTTGTCTTAGTCCTCACCTGGGTGCACAGAGGTCATTTGTTGATGGCTATAAATGTGCTACACCAAATGACACACTTTATGTAATATCCACCGGAAAGAAGTCTATCAATTATTTACATTTCCTCATTGCTGAATCACACCGGGAGAAGAGAAGCGATTAAGCTCGTTAGCACATGAAAGACATTTGTTACTAATTTGTAGGAGATGAAGCCACAACTAATCACTGTAATATCAATAGTCTAATCATTTATATTATACATTGCCGAAAGGAATTAATCTGCAACGGCGCAGTAATGGAAGAAGCACATATGTATCAAGGGAAATGACGACAAGATAAATACAGGATCTTCTCTGGAAAAAAAAACCCATAACTCTGCAGTGAGATCAAAATGTACTACTGCACTACTGGAAATCTTGACAATAGTGCCATCTACTGATTTAACATGGTCATCATTTTCAAAATTCTCTCTTTTTTTTCCAGTATAAATGTTTTTTTTCCAGAAAGGAATGGTACAGGGATAACAAAACAAACTACACTGCTTACAAATATAGTATTTGCAATAAAGCTTCTGCACACAAATCAGATCATTTGTTTATAATATGTAATAAATATACTTATATAGGTACATGTGGCTGTTTTCTTAGAATCTCTTTCAGAAAATTAAAAAATGTCGGTACCTTCCAGTATTTGATATGATGATTATTGTCTCTACATGCACACTTTTCCCTTGTATTAGTGGGCAATACCCATAGTTAGCAGTGCAGTTAGCGTGTATGCAATTTGTGTGGAGTTTTCTGACAATTTCAGCACCATGGACAGTATCATCCACCACATTCTCTATACTCAGACTCTATAATGCAGCGATTCCTAACTTGTGAATCAGGATCAAAATGGGACCACATGCTGTTTTAAAGGGTCCCACTGGTTGTATTCATCAGACACCAATCCACTATTACAAAAATGTTTTACTATAGCATTGATGCTATCCTCTGTGCAGTGCTGGCCTCTGCAATACTAACTAGTGTCTAATTAAAAGATCTGTTATGGAATTTTATTTTCGTATGCATTATATTGCAAGAACTATTCACATTTTTACAACAAATATGTGCACAATGTGGAAAATAGTCAATCCGAAGCTCTATACACCTCAAAGTGGTGTCCCCTCTACCACTTTAAAATCAACAGTATACATACAAAAACAAGATGGAGCTTCTTAAAATGGCAATGAAACAGATATTCTGGAAAATAAAATATAAACAATAGCGCAATACAGTAGTGCAAAGGAAATTGGAAATGTATACTGTATACTATGTATATGTATACTATGTATATGTATACATATGTATGTATACTATTCACATTTTTAATTGTGTGATTAAAGAATGGTCACCATGTCAATGCCATGTACATAAAAAAAGGATAAGAACCCCGCTGAACAAAATTTCTCGAATAAATCTTGCTTTATTTAAAAAAAAAAAAATGGTTAAGAACCACTGCCTTAGTGATATGTATGCCACATTTGTAACACTGACAGGTTCTACGGGCAGTTTTAGAATAATACTAGTATAATAACCATGTCAGAGGCTATAAGATAAATGAATTACCTTACATTCTGTTACATGGGGGAATATGCTTTACTGTTCCGGAGATGACTGATCAATGTAGTAAAATAGAGATTAATAATTCTTGATGCTCAGCCATTTCCTGGTAGCATGAAAGCTATGTGCACCGTTTTCGATACTATAAGCTGATGTGTGGTCTGGTGGAAAGGGATGTTGAATAGGTCTGTGTGTTTTTATTGATGTGTGTTTGTGATATAGTTGACATTGTTTAACAGGAGTTACAGTAAATTGTGCTTTAATGGAAAAATGTAAGAGTTAGTGTAAAGTTTTTCTCATAAGTATGTGACATTACATGAGTGATGCCTAGCCATAACACTACATATGTTTGTGAAGCACATTGTCACAAAGAATGCCACTGGGCTATGTGTAGCTTTTCACAGGTCTGATTGTGTAAAGCTAGATTGTGTATGTGTATATTTGTGTATGTGTATATGTATATTTATGTGTGTGTGTGTGTGTGTGTATATATATATATATATATATATATATATAACTTCACATTTTGCAGCCCTCACTGTCACAGGTGCCCTGTTCCAGGGCCCTATTTAAACTTGTACTGCAGAGCCCCAGGAGGAAGCATTTCCCAAGTGGATTAATCTCATAAGAGCAGGCATTAGGCTGCTAGAGTAGGACCTGCTAAGAATGGGGTACATTGACGTTGTTGCAGGCTTATGCAATGTATAATCAATTACTGTAACTAAAGCCCCATTATGTGTGCCAAGATTAGGTATTTAAAAAAAAAAAAACATTCTGTGAGCTTTGATATTGCCATTTAGTAAATGAGTGTACTGAATCTTGTACATTTGATATAAATATATACTATATATACATATATACACAAGGTGAAAATTCCCTCTTGCCTCTAGCCATTGGCAAGTTCAAATGTAGCAAGTAGAAATTCACCCCATGTGAGCATATGATGACTTGCAGTGGCGAGTAATTTTAAGTCCTGGCTAGTAGCGGTGTGTGCGTGTGTGTATATATATATATAGCACCAAAAATATGTCTAGTGCTGTATAACTAGTAAACAAGACAAATTTTCGGTGACACAAAATATCAACGTATGAGATGTACTAAAGATGAGGAAGATCTCTTTGTTATACTCTATGTGTTGTTTATTCTCCCATTAGCTCTCTGTCGGTAATAAATATGGGATAGAAAAATCAGTCCCCAACTGCAGTTCCACTCATGGACATGGTGAATGAACTGATGGAAGCCATATCACTGTTTTGACCGCTGTGGCATGATTTTCTTAAACAAAATGCTGAAAAATATATGTATGTCTAAAGTAACTTGTTTGAGTGGTTTCATATAAAGTGCTTTAAAAGTTTACTACACTTATGTTCTTCAACTTTTTTCTGAAACAAATTAGTCATTTTAGTTTAGTTTAGCCAAATCTCCCATTTACTAACTGTTCTAGAAAATCCTGATAATCAGTCCCTACCCTGCTTTTTGTAAATAAATAAATAACTAAAGGCAGGCCAGTAAATTGAATGAATGTGTTGTATGTTGGAATAATTGTGTAATTGCAGAAGGCAATTTCGAAAAGAAGAAAAAAACTTGATAAAATGTGGGTTTATTCTGAAAGTGAGACTGTATTATACTAAAAAAGTTTTTTTATACATATATATATATATATATATATATATATATATATATATCTATATATATATATAGGGAAATACAGATGTTGCTGAACTACAACTCACATGATTCTTTGAATTACATAGATAGCCAGAGAATCATGGGAGTTGTAGTTGAGCAACATCTGGGGGGCCAGAGTTTGAGGACCCCTGATATAAAGGGTCATTACAATGAAATGCTGCCATGTTGTATTGAATAATTTTGTTAAACCAGGATACCAATTCCATACGGATCTACCAACAAATTATTTTAAAAGGTATTATTTTTGAATCCCATAATTCTAAAAAGTAAAAACAAAAATCTTACACATATACTAATAAAAAAAAAAAAACCTTTTGTGTAGTTTGTTTGCATTTTTAATTATAACAGTAAGACATAATTTGCCCTAAGAACAAAATGTTTTGTATTTTTGTATTTTAAAAGAAGAAAAACTACCACAACAAGAGGACATAGTCTTAAATTAGAGGGACAATGGTTTAAAAATAATATCAGGAAGTATTACTTTACTGAGAGGGTAGTGGATGCATGGAATAGCCTTCCAGCTGAAGTGGTAGAGGTTAACACAGTAAAGGAGTTTAAGCATGCGTGGGATAGGCATAAGGCTATCCTAACTATAAGATAAGGCCAGGGACTAATGAAAGTATGTAGAAATATTGGGCAGACTAGATGGGCCGAATGGTTCTTATCTGCCGTCACATTCTATGTTTCTATATTTGTGCTGCATACCAAATTTATCAAAAACAGCAAAACTCTGAAAGGACATACAGAATCCAACATATTCTCTATTTAAATGTAAAATGGAAAAGTTAAATATTATTTGAGGTATATCGATGGTATCAAGAACAGAACATTAACCTTTACTTGCTACCATCAAATTCTTTATTTATATAATGCAGCAGCTGACCGACTAAGGCCTTCTCTGAGGTAAATTATATTTGTGAATGATGCATGATACATGCTCTTCTAAAACTCATAATCTGTGTCATATTCACTGTATTTCTTTTGTTATATTTATTTTAACCCCTCCAGTACCAGGGTTAGCTTCTTTTACATCATGTCACTTCTATTTCCATTGTGACTTATTGTCTTCTGACTGGTTTAAAGACAATTACATTTCTTGAACATACTTTTATTTTAGTGGTTCATTGGAGAGACCACAGACTAGTTATAAAATGTAGGTGTAAGTAGACATATGCCAAATTCTGTACCCAGATTACTGTTTTGCGAATAAACTTAATAAGTGTTATATTGTTACATGGAAGGTAAAAACCGCGCTCGTATCTAGACCAGTTGACAAATTCCGTACCCAGAAATGACTGTTTAGCGAACAAACTCTTCGGTAACTCTTCAGTAAGTGATTAATATTACATGGAGGCAAAAACAGCACAGCTATCTATTTCTTTTGGGGTTTTTTTAAGATGTAATACAATATCATTAAAATTTTGGCATGGTGGCCTATATCATATAAATTATTCAAAGTACAGAAATCCCAGCCCCTCTACTCTGATGTATTTTTGTCATTCCTTTATCACATCATTAATTTAACATTGGAAGAACGGACTGTACCAGGCAGGGAGAGGAGAAACAATCTGCTTCTTTTTGTCCCAGCTCAGTACGAAAGCTCATTTATGCAGCAAATAACATGGAACAAAGTCATTACAGGAACAAACTCTGCGGAACATTATTGAACATCTAAAGAAATGCTTTGAGCAGCAACTATCTTTTCTCAAATGTATGGATTTTTATGTTTGAACCTATTTTGGTGAACTAGGATGAATCCCTTACAACTGAGATTTACTCTGAGACTAAGGCACGTGAAATCTTGCTAAATGTTCTTTGCATTTTCACTTTGCAGAACAGGAAAAAATAATCAATGAAGTTGTATAGCACCTTAAGGCAGACGGTGATTTCAATCAGTTTACTAATTTTACCTGGCTGTTTATTTTTAGATTTTTGTTCCATGTCTATGTATAAAATGCTGGCATCATCCTCGCCACTTGCCAGTGTTCATATTGTCATCAGTACCAATATGGCCAATCCTTTATCAGATGCTCAGAAGCTGTAATAACTGCACAGTTATGTAAATCTGACACATGTTCAATAATAAAAATGACTTTAGAGGTAACATTACTCCTCAACAAACCTGCAAATTGAAATACAATAGAACACATATTGCTTACACATATATCGTTTACACATTGCCGTATGTACATGTACAATAGAAAGATATTGAACATTTCACTAGTTAACCATACTTTATTTCCGACTGCTCAACCTATCCATGCATCATCATAGATGATCTTAAAATACATAATTTTACATAACATCTAAGTGAACTGACTGTACTTATGTATATGGTATAAAAAAGGGTAGTGCTTTAGTTTCAAGCATCCTTAATTACAGATATGATAAAAAACATAATATGATGTTGGAAAAGTTCCTATCTAGAAAATAAGAAATCCCTCGGAGATCAGTACACCGTACATAAATTTAATCACAGCGCCACTTGTGGAGTGTACCTTTTTTTTGCAGGGAGAGGCATTTGCAAGTTCCAACGCAGATTGTATCATAAAGAAAAACATACTTCAAACAAAGAAGAATGCCTCAATCCACTTGAAAGGTAAAAACAAATGAATTTATTATTTATTCGTGTACGTAACATGGCTTTAACACACAGTAGGGAGCACTGGATTCCCTAACGCATTTCACTTGATCAGAGACTGATTTCTGATAAGGTGCTGTCAAGGTCCAAAAATGGTTTAAAGTGTGAATCCAGAGCAGCCCACTGTGTGTTCAAGCCATGTTATGTACATGAATAAAAGGTATGATACATTTGCTTTTACTATTTAAGTGGACTGAAGTGTTCTTGTTAGTTTGAAGTCCTGTTTTCCTTTCATACTGTTTCTATCCACAAATATAAAACTGCCTAGTTAAAAAGAAAGATTCTAATGGTAGAACACTAGCAGACAATCCACCTGGAAAACTATACCTACTTATATTTCTCTCCTGTAAAAATATAACTGACTAATTTATAACAACGGATTTTATTGTTACTGTTTGTAAAAAAAAAAATATCCTGCTAAACTATACATTCTAATTAATGTATGTATGTAGTCCGTTTTTAAGTTAAATAAGCCATTGGAGATGTAGTTGGATTAAGTCTCCAACCAAACTTTCTATTTCTCCACCTCTCAAACCAGGCAAAGAAGGGTTATTTTCTCCAGCATTGTACTAATTGAGCAATCAGATTAGTTTAATTACTCTTCTCTTTTACACAATGGTAGCTATCTAATTGTAATTTCTTTGCTGAAATCAATTCAATTAAGCCTATTTTTGTGTTTAAAGCAGATCTGTTTGATAGATACTGTTGACTTATATATGCATTTACTCAGGTTGGCTCATGTGTATGCAGAAAATAAGGTACAAATTAGCTACAAGAGAACGCTTTCTGAACTTTACAGTCACTATGCTAAACATTTTTCGTTAAATTTGGATGAACTGTTTCGATGCAAGTGAGGACTCTGCTTTTCCAGCAATACAGAGGGAAGATATTATACTTCTTCCTTTTTAGAAGGCAGATGCTCTGTCATGATGGTAGCTTGTCACTCCACATGTTGTAGATTGTTGGTGACTGTGATACTGTGCCAGTCAAACTGCATCCTAGCAAAGCACCATGGGAAATTCAGCCTAGATCATCTGGACAACCAATTGTTTGCAGTTACTGTATATTGGATATAGTGTGGGTAGTTGTATGGGTTTAAAAACATTGTAATAATGATGTTGCGTTGCAATGCAATATACTTCTCAGATTAGTAAATAATTGTCACACTGACAGAGGTAGATGTGACCTTCTGCTTTTTTGTTCAGGCATAATTTCATGAACCAATCACACGCAGTTGTTGTAGGATACACATTCTATTACAACTAGGTAGGTAAGTGCCCTAGGATGGTTATTCTTGAATAACACCAGTTAGGACAGTGAGATGTAATAGCTGTTGTTTTGTTACACCTCTAGAACCGTTCCAATGGCGGGTACCGTATATCTAAGGTAAACTTAGAAATGTATGTATGATAATGGCTGTATCGGAGTATATGTTTGTGTTCATGAAATTGCAAGCAAATGTATGCATTTGCTTCCTGATCCTGTTTGTGGATTATACAATGCCAAACATTACAACCCATAATGCATGTGTGCTACCTAATCATCCTGGGATGTCACACTTAGTTTTGTATGTCTGCATTAAAGTGTGTTTGTATTTAACGTTTGTACACATAATAAGCACAATAATAAGCACAAAAATAACTTTAGTTTAATGTTTGTTGTGTAGATCATATACCTGCAGTTTCTCTGCCATTAAGAGTTTAATTACTTTGATTATGCAGCCTAAGCCACTCCTCTCCTGCATGTGACGTACACAGTCTTCATACACACTTCCTGAAAAGAGAGATGTGATTTGTAAACCTTATTTATTTCAAAGTGTACAGATGCTCCTCACTTAACGACCTACCTACTTAACGACCGAGGAGTGCCTGTATAAATTAGAAAATTCTTATCTTTCGCTCAGATAATAGCCTGCTAGAGCCTTCAGGATGCTCATGTGTGTGATTAAAGTTTATTTAACAGAGCAGGTGATAAGAACGTCTAGCATAAACACACTGTGCTGTGATTGAATATGAAAACATCTTTTTTTTCATGGAAAATGTGTGTCACAGCCAGGGATTATGTGACTAGTGCTGCAAAACTAAAAGTGATTTAACTCCTAAATTGCAGAGCAATAAGCAGTGAGACCACAGGCGCTTGATATATATACACCTAACGGTTTCATTAACCTAAAGTTGTTTTGTTGCTTTGATATTCCTTTACCATTTGTACCACTATGCTAGCAGCATTACATTATACTCCCCAACTGTTCCAGATCTTGCAGGATGGTCATGATTCCTGCAATCTTAGATGTTTCTTAATATTTCTGCATTAGAGAAAAGTCACAGAACAAGGCAGCACAAGAGCATCATAAAATGTGCTTGTGACTATGCACCTTCCCAGATATTTCTACTCATGAGAGAGAGCTCTCAAAGCACTATGTGCACAGACAGCCCTGCATGTCAGCCTATTAAAAAAAAATATTCCAGCAAATCCTTTTTCAAACAGTGTCCCTTTTATGTAAGAGCCCAGAGTGAACACAGGAGCAACGTTTCGACCACTACAATGGTCTTCGTCAAGCTTTGTCAAGCTCACCGTGGGACTTTAAAGGGACTATGGAATATTTTTCTTTATTTTGAATACATGTACTGGCTTTGGCGGAGACAGAATCCGTTCACCCTATGTGGCAGGTGTTGTACCCTTCAATTTGTATTTAACTTTATGTAAGCTTGATACTCGTGCTATTCCTAATGATATGCTGTCTTTCTGCGCACACTTACCTTCCTGAAGCATCAGTGATGCATATTGTGTCACTGGTACACCATCTTTTCAGCCTCACCCCCTTTATAATACGCAGCGGTTCCATAGAGTTTTAGTTTAAAGTCTCATACTAATAACTGTTGGCAGAATAAGCATGGTAATTAAAATGCATGTCTTATAAAGTGGCGCCATGTCCATTTTGTAACACAGCAACTTATACTTTGCTGAAGTGTGCACACTAGCATTTTTGTCATTGTAATTCTCGTTGCAACTGCCAAGTGCTGTGATCCTGCTGAATAAGACATCCATTGTCATCGTAACTGTATCTGTGATGATACCCTGCTCCCAGCTGGCAGTCACTGAAAGCAATTACAGTAAAATTGCAGCTTCTGCTTCAAAGTGTGACATATTTTCTACCAATCAGTATGACAGACCCACACATGTAATTTTGTGAGACCCTGATCACAGCTGGGAAACTTGGATCTAGTTCAGTGGATACCACACCATTTTGGTCTATCCAACAGACTACATCAAAATCTCCCATCTCCAGGACTCAAGCCAGAGGCATCGCACATGTTTTTTTGTATCTTTGATAAAATCTAGTGTTTTGTTTTGTATGATACGCATTATATAGCACCATCCCTGGGCTTGATTCTGAAACATAATTGGGATCAAATCTAACATCCTTCCCAACAACCTGCAGAGATATAGTATAGGCTAGCTTACTGAATGCAAAGAGGGTGCACCTTGCATTTTCCTGCAACGTTTAAAACAAAATACTAACGCATTCAATTCTGAGGTGATAGTAACTCTTGGCGTTCCAAGTGTTTTTGAATCATGTTACCCTATTGACAAGCCTGCTAACACCTGGAGTGCCAATGGTTATTTATAATAGTAATACTTTTATCAAAGCTGCCTATCTTCTTTACCAGCAACTGGATGCACAGTGGGAAATGTCTTTTCTGATGTCATGCATGACCGACTTGTTTTACAAGACACCATCCAGTGAACAGAATAAATGTCCTTGGAATCAAATTCTAGGCTGCGTGGCCTATTGCTCAGATTTAGTCCCCGTTGCTCCAGCTGAAAAGCCAGAATACTACCGATAGTGGAGAATTGCTGAACTGTTTTTTATTACAACTACACCTCACAGATATTATAACAGTGGGCCCCGATGCAATTTAATAAGGTGTCAATGCTTTTAGATAGGAGCTTATATCATACGCTAGCAGTATTACAGCAATATGTAGTTACCTATTTTACAGATAAAATAATGGTATAACTAACGTATGTAGGAAGATCATGATATTTAAAAAAATGAATCTTTACTGTCTAACTATCTCTATTTATCTATCTCTCTATCTATCATCATCCCATGTTTAGGAATTAATATGTTCTCAGGAAATATTATTTTTCGATAACATTGAAGTTAGATAAATGCTGTGTGACATCACTTTCATGTGTTTCTGCTGTCAATTAAAAATGCTTTGCACGGTAACTGTTGAATCAATGTCAGTTATTCAATAAACATACATAGAAAATTTTCATGCATGCACTCTAAGTAAAGATGTCTAAAAAGAGCTGTGTCATTGTCTAAGACAAATCACTATGCGGCATGGCTTGTATATTCACTGAGAAGGATGTTTTGTTCTGTGTGAAATGCTTTATGTATAAAAAGTGTAGGGTAAGATTAAAATAGGTATATGGTTAGTGTTAATGTAAGCATAAGGGTAGAGTTGGGATAGGGTTAGCATTAACTATCAAAAATTAACTTAGGGCCCAGACATATGAGGCGTTTAACAATCAGGACTGAATCTAGATGAAGTTGAATAATTTTTTTGTCCTTTAACAATGTATAATATGTATTGGGGCACTTAAAAAGAACCTCTTAAAATTGCAGTTGAATAAACACTTTGCACAAATTCTAGGGTTAGTTTCAGTTCAGAACTTGTATAATTACCTTAAGAGGACATCATTAAACTTCATTCAGTAAACATTAAGTACATATAATGTCTAATTACTATATTTCTAAGCTTGGTTCAACACTCCACTGACAGCCGTCAACAGTCCTTATTTCCACCTGAAAATCTTGCATAGTGTATTTTTCTAGATCTTCCCTAATTTATGGAGCACTCTAAACTGTTCTTTGAGACTTTCTCACTTTCTAAAAAAAATCCTTAAACAAATTCCTTCTAATAGGCAGTCAATCTATTTTCTTAATAGTTAATCCCTGCCTCCCTACTTAAACCATGTTTTTCCTGTGTGTGTCAATGCACCCTTAAGATATCTTATTCTCTTATTATAACAGATATAAAATTCAGTTTCCAGACCTCATGTATGCAGGTAGATATATTAAAGGAACATTCTTAGCAATATAACCACTGCCCACTTAACGTTGTTGTGATTATGCTATCTAGAGACCCCTGGCACTGTTCCCTCCCCAGTGCTAAGGGCCATAACCCTTCTGTGTTCATTTCATCCAACCTGGACTTTTTTGGTTGGTTGAGAGCGTTAGGGGCAGGTTAGCACGGTGCTCTCAGCCAATTGGCATTGGTAATGTTTCCCTTTTTATTACACCTGCCAATATTCTCTTCTGGATACTTTTACATTTTGTTTAAAGGGACACTATAGTCACCCAGACCACTTCAGCTCAATGAAGTGGTCTGGGTGCCAGGTCCCCCAGGTTATAACCCTTCAGATTCATAGCAGGGTTAATCCAACCTCTAGTGGCTGTCTTCCTGACAGCCGCTAGAGTCGCTTTTGCGACGCTGGATGCGAAAATCTCATCCAGCTTGCAGAACGTCCATAGGAAAACATTGACAAATGCTTTCCTATGGACTGTTTGAATGTGCATGCGGTTTCGGCTCCACTCAGGAGCTGACATCGGTGGGGGAGGAGAGGTCACCAGCGCCGAAAGAGCCCGGCACTGGATAAAGTTAAATGGCTGAAGGGGTTTTAACCCCTTCAGCCCAGCGGGAGGAGGATCCTGAGGGTGGGGGGACCCTTAGGATTGTATAGTGTCAGGAAAACGGGTTCCTTTAATGGGGGCCAAAATGTTGCCACTGTTGCCAAATAAAATCTGCCTTTGGATTTAACCCTTTCTATGCCCAGACCGCTTTCAGTAGACTTGATGGCAATTCTGTGCAACTTCACCTACTGGGAAAAAAAACAACAACAAAAAAATACCCTGACCTTTGCTTGAATACAAAAAAAATAACACAGATATTTCAGAAAAAAACAATGTTAAAGTGAAAAAAAACATTGTTTAATTGAAAGCACCTTTTTGCTGTTTGAGTTTGCGAACAAATCACAAAGAAGGTTGAATTATCTCTGTTCTACAGTTCAAAATACTGTACCAGATCAATGCTCCTCTAAATAACTACCTGTGGTCGATTTTCAGCCTGGCTGCTGCAATATTACCCACGGTGCAAAGAGGAATTCCATGTTTCGTCTTTAAAGATGAGCAGATTTATGATGCCTTCACAAAGAATTCCAGCCTTGCTGCTCCAACTGCTGCCTATAAAGCTGACAGATGATTTAACAGGTTCTGCGCAGCACTTGGATGCACAGATGAGTTGTGATAATGATAGACCCATGATTTGTCTCCAAAATGCCGCACTGACTTCTTGCTAATAATTAAACCAGTCCCAAAGTGTTGTGTAAGGAAAAGTTTCAGCTATAACTATTACAGTCATTCTCATCGAACCCAAACCAAGATACAAATATTTTAGCTACAGGTTTAAGAGTAACAGGAAAAGATTTCAGCACTTAATAAATGTTCATATCATGAGTTGCCTGTCACTGCAATAAATATTTAATCTCCTTTTCACAAATAGGGTTGCCTGCACTCGAGGCACACAAATAGAAAAAATAGACCACACATTAGTACATTGCTACAAATATAATGCATTCACCTGCAACTGCACGAGAATTAAACAAATTTATTTAACGGTTTGTTTGTTTGCTTTTTAAAACAAACACAAACATATCAAAAATCAATGATGGCAGGCAGGAGATGGCGATGACCCCGCTAAATTTACCTTGCCGTCTAAAGGAACTGGGATTTAATTAAAGGGGCACTCCAAGCACCAATACCACTTCTACCCATTGGAGTGGTCTGGGTGCCAACTCCCACTACCCTTAACCCTGCAACTGTAAATATTGCAGTTTTCATAAACTGCAATATTTACCTTGCAGGGTTAACTCCTCCTCTAGTGGCTGTCTTTAGACAGCCACTAGAGGGCACTTCCGGGTTTATAGCACACATTTTTCAATGCTTTCCAATGGGGAGGTCTAATGCACGTGCGTGGCATTGGCGCGCATGCACATTAGGTCTCCCCCACTGGCGGCCGCGCATGTGCAGTACGTCGCCCCGCCGGATGACATTGGCAGGGGAGGAGTGTGGGCACACCCTGAACCAGCGCCGAGGGACATCGGCGCTGGATACAGGTAAGTCACTGAAGGGGTTTTAACCCCTTCAGCAACTTGGGACTCTAAAGGAACTGGGATTTAATTAAAGGGGCACTCCAAGCACCAAGACCACTTCTACCCATTGGAGTGGTCTGGGTGCCAACTCCCACTACCCTTAACCCTGCAACTGTAAATATTGCAGTTTTCATAAACTGCAATATTTACTTTGCAGGGTTAACTCCTCCTCTAGTGGCTGTCTTTAGACAGCCACTAGAGGGCACTTCCGGGTTTATAGCACACATTTTTCAATGCTTTCCAATGGGGAGGTCTAATGCGCGTGCGTGGCATTGGCGCACATGCACATTAGGTCTCCCCCACTGGCGGCCGCGCATGTGCAGTACGTCGCCCCGCCGAATGACATTGGCAGGGGAGGAGTGTGGGCGCACCCTGAACCAGTGCCGAGGGACATCGGCGCTGGATACAGTTAAGTCACTGAAGGGGTTTTAACCCCTTCAGCAACTTGGGATGGGGGTGGGAGGGAGAGGGGACCTGCAGTGCCGGGAAAACGGTTTGTTTTCCTGGCACTGGAGAGTCCCTTTAATATGTAGTCTCAACACCTTGGCTAAAAATGTGTAGAAAAAGTGTGTTTTTTTTGCTTCAGATTACAACGTGTTACTTGCATTCATTCTCTTAAAACTCTATTGGTGAAGAATATATCTCTGCTGACTTTATACATGTATAGGCCTCAAACTTAATTTATATCTTAAAGAGACACTATAGTCACAAAACAACTTTAGCTTAATAAAGCAGTTTTGGTGTATAGATCATGCCCCTAAAGTCTCACTGCTCAATTATCTGCCATTTAGGAGTTAAATTACATTGTTTATGCAGCCCTAGTCATACCTGACATATGGGACTTACACAGCCTTCCTCAACACTTCCTGTTAAGAGTCATCTCAAGTTTGAAAATGAAACCATTTGCTTTCATGCAGTCTGTGTCAGTCACAGCCAGGGGAGGTGTGGCTAGTGCTGCATAAACAGAAAAAAAGTGATTTAACTCCTAAATGGCAGTGAATTGAGCAGTGAAACCTCAGAGGTCTGATCAAAACACCAAAACTGCTTCATTAAGCTAAATGAAAGTATTTAGAAAATTGGGCAGACTAGATGGGCCAAATGGTTCTTATCTGCCGTCACATTCTATGTTTCTAAAGTTGTGACTATAGTGTCCCTTTAAGTACATTTGGGTAGCACAAAAGAAAAATAAAACTTTATTACTGCAGTATGCTACTGTGTAATACTAGTTTGGCAGGTACAGTTTAAATTTAAACAAAAATTAGTGAAACATATTGAAAAAATTCTAAGGAGCTGCACACAATATTGTGTTGCAAAGACTACTTGAAGAATTCAGTTGATTATTATGCAATTACAAATTAAATGATCCGCTAATTTACACGGATGCTAAACCAATAGCATAATTGACATCATCAAGAGTGGAGACTTGTTCACCTCATTAATCAGCAGCATAGTCCATAAAATATTTAAATATTAAATAATTCTAAAACTGCAGCTATATTACAGCTTTGTACATGGAGTTCTGGGAAAAAAGTGTGCGTTCAATAGAAAGGGGCACTTTTTAATTTGATGCTCTTTGCAAAAGTGAGATTCAACGGTTGAATTTTGTAGGTAATTACGAGTCATTTAAATGCACGCACACATACAAAAAAAAGTATTTTATTGATTTTTGATTGGATGAGGCTAAAAGAAAATGCGTCCAATATACTCATTAAATCCCAACCCTTTTTACCCTCCTGCTATCACATCGTAAAGTTTAATTCACATGTCCCTATACTCCATCACCGGCTGCTGGTAATTAGCAAGTAACATTGCTGAGTTGTTTTTAATTTGTTTTGTAGTTTCACATTAATAGGGCATTAGAATAGCATTAATGCACGGGTACATTTGTTATGGTTGTGTAATGAGATATTTTTAAAACGATTGCCACTGTTTACATTTTGTTGTAGAAAAGTGCTTCTTCTTTTGGGTTTAAAAATAGATTCATCAGTTTTACCAAGTGCTTACAACCCTTTTATGCTACCATGCGAACAGGAGTTTTGGGGAGTCTTTTGGGGGAAAAAGGCTGTCCATTTGAGTTAAGAAGTAGAAGTTAAGAAGTAGATTAGCACAAAAAAAACATTAAATGACATCTGAAAAAAAAAAAAAAACAAACATCAAATTCTAAGGTTTTGATGGCATTTTTCTCGTAACAGTCACTAAGATTTCTATTAGATCATCGTGATAATCTCTGTCCAAACTATATGTATCTCATGTAGAAATATGTGGGATACAGGGCACATGATTAAAATGCACTACCAATCCCATGCTTCTCATGGCATAGCTGTGTGACAGGCTTAGGAATAATTTTATATAATGAATAAACCCAAAGCACACCAAGAATAGTTGCACATAGAAAATATTTTATTCATATAATGAAATGCTAAAACTATGCATACAATGTGCAAGTATACAGTGCAGGCATGCTGTGGAACATACATATAACCACATGAACCTCAATACATAATATAAACCCATATATAAATGTAACCACAGGCATACTGACCTAGAGCAGGGGATAATAAGTACTCGACGTTTCAGCACACAGCCTTCATCATTTATATACCCGTATAAGTGCTACAATAGTAAGCCCTAGTGGAGAACAGGTGTGGGAAAGATCAAGAGAGTTAATTAAACCAAACTCCCTGCACCAGCCACTCAGGGTGGTTCCGTATTCTTTATGTTGCTTCTGACATCATCACATCTGAGCGACAACTCGCGTCATTGTGTGTACGTGACATCACCGCTTTCGCCGTCTGACACGATGGTTAAAACAAATGGCCAAAAATCTTTCTGAAAGAAAAGGGAGTAGACTGGACTGCAGCAGATGGGGCTGCACAAGGTAAACACCCACCCAATCAGCTCTAACGTCTTTACGTCCGCGCAATGTTTTAGCTTCTCACGCGTATGTGACATCACTGCGCTCACTGTCCGACACAACAGGCTGCACAGGAGGAATAAATAAAACCTTCCCTTTCGGTCTGAACAAAGGGACTGCATTTGTGCACCAAAACCACATTCAGGTCTTAAAGTGTACTTTTAATTAAAACTTATATAGTAAACTCATTGTACATTGTTGCAATATATACCGGCACTATATAATAAGAATACATAATGTTGCTGGGAAATCTGATTCTTACAGATTTGCACTGGAAAAGCACATGCTTTTACCATGGGAATCTGTCATTCTATCCACTGTCTTACATTAAAAATCCAAGCAATCAATCATAACAAAATAAGCATTTACAATTCTACGAGGAGTATACAGAATAAAGAGTATATCAAATGTACAATTTGATTTGAAAACCTGCAGAGAGTAAATTTCCCTTATTTTCAGTAGAATATGTATTTTCCATTAATCATAATATTCTACCAGTGCAATATACAACCCCTTTTACATTTACAAAGTAAATGCTCATCGTTTTAAAAGTAATGTGCTTTCTTCTTGTAGATAAACATTGAATCAGCACAGCATTCTACCAAAAGAATATACATATTTTGCTTGTGCATTGTGCATTGAGAAACTGCATTCTATTTACCCGTGGACATTGAACAAAGCACAACATTCTAACAGGATAATGTACATTCTCTTTAGACGTTACATTGAGAAAGCACAAGAATGAACAATAACCTCTTAATGTGCATTCACCTTATAGACGCAATAGGCTTACATTGAGCAAGCGCAAGATTCAGCTTAATTTCTAAGCCATTGACTTTCATTGCATTCAGCAAAATGAATATCAAATGCTTGCCAAAAAAATACAGTGATCGTTTGCTGAAGAAATTCAGCAAACATTTGTTTATTTTGGCAATTGAAACAAGATAATTCGCCCAGTGCTAATAAAAAGGATGTTAGGGTTATATTTGGTGCAGCAGAAAACTACACCTTCTATTCACCTATCAATGGGACACTATAGTGTCCCTTTAACTATTGGTCCTGTATATGTCTGTATTAATCATTGGGCAGATTAGAGAAATGTACATATTTGATGCGACATGTTTGTAGAAGCGCATGTGGCATTCATAGGTATGTCAAGGATACTTCTGCTGGGCTTTATAGCATTTATAGTCAGTATGTTGCTGTTTCCTCTATGTTTTCCATATCATTTGTAATGGGCAACATATGGGAAGTGCTTTCCTGTATTCTGTAAGTCAAATGCTGCAGGTAGTAAATCATATGATACATCAGGCAAGGAATCCTGCAGCATATAAATTCTACATACTGCAGGGCAGTTTTTTCAGGTGCTGCTAATCAACTTGCTGAATTTCGGTTTTTAGAATATGACAACTGTAACGATTTGTGGGCTATGCGTTATGTAACCTTGCTATTATTTGTGTTTATACAAGCTTTTGTATTACTTTCATATTTGTGTTCCTTTGTATGTACTGTCTCTGAAATGCTAAATTCAGTAAAAAGAGATTGACAAAAATAAAAAGAAACTGACAATTATAGAATTCTCTGTCCGAAGAAGAGTTTTTTTTTCAGAGTCCGTACAGACGTTTAAACAGCAACTAGATGCATACTTGCAAAAACAGACTATTTAATGATATAATGTTTCAATGTAGGGTAATTTTTCTTGATCCAAGGATTAATCTGGCTGCCATTCTGGGGTCAAGAGGGAATTTTTTCCCCCTGGTTTGTTGCAAAAATTGAAAGTGCTTCAAACTGGGTGTTTTTGCCTTCTTTTGAATCAACCGCAAAAAACAAATGTGAGAAAGGCTGAACTTGATGGACACATGTCTCTTTTCAGCCTATGTAACTACCCAAATTCTAAAACTGCACAAGTTTGAATCCCATCATACACACAGTGCAGTTTCAGTGCTTTGGAACAAGCACCTTGCATTTTACTCTGTCTGTCTGTCTAATGCATAAACAAGACAAGCCCCATTCTTACCTATTTTAGCTATTAAAAACAAAACAAAATATCCTTGCATTTTTCTTTTTATTGTATTTTTTTATATACAAAATATACTTTTTTAACCCCTTAAGGACCAAACTTCTGGAAAAAAAGGGAATTATGACATGTCACACATGTCATGTGTCCTTAACCCCTTAAGGACACGTGACATGTCATGATTCCCTTTTATTCCAGAAGTTTGGTCCTTAAGGGGTTAAATAAATATTGAATCTATTTTTGAGGAATTTGTCTAGAAAAATGTATATCAAAATTGTTGGGAATTTCAGTTACCCTGGTTATATTTGAATGGCTGGTGTGGGTAAAAAAAATAAGGAATTAAATTTGTGAGCAGGCTAAACTTAGCCAGAATCCTCCATAATTACATACATCATAGCTAGCCTTGACAATGTGTTTATTTTCATATTCATTCACAAAGCATCTTGTTACATGATAGTTTCATACACAGCGGGCTACTTAACCTGATTCGTATTGATCTCAATTGCTCTCAGTTATGCATACTTAATTCAGAGAGGTAATCAAATTGATTTCTAAAGCCTACTAGCAGAGATCATAACAGCATTGGAATCCGCGTGGCTTCTTTATCTATATTATACGAGTCAAATATCCTTCTAGGAACAATCATCTTAAATGGACATCTCAATTATCATCACACATGACTTCAGGAAATATTATTTTTGCTAATCAACATCTATGTTTTTCCCATTTTTATTTTCAGTAAAAAAATTAAGTATGCATTCAATTTCCTCTGTTACTAAGCATTAATGAAAAAAAAAGTATTTTACAGGAACAAACATTTAAAAAAATATAACTTCTAATAAATCAAAAGAAAACTAGCACTAATATATAATCTGAAAAATGTAACATAAAATAAGGAAATAACTCTCATTTTCTTTAATAATTGCCAGAGGAAAAGTTTGAATATGTTTGTTTCTAACCATGCAAGTTTCTGAATATTGTGTTTTGTACGTACGAGTGGTTCGGGAGAATGTTGTCACTATTTTAACTAATTTTATGAAGTTGATGCTCAGAAAAATACTATTATAACATGCGCAACTTTGGCCACAAATAGTCCAGGATACAAAGATTATTTTCAGTCACGAGCTTGTATGTCAGTCTGAATGAATGTATGTCTGTATGCCATTATGAATTTATGTGTGTATGGATGTCAGTGTCTGTGTATGTATATATATATATATATATATATATATATATATATTTATGTATGTATGCCAGTATGAATGTGTGTATGTCTGTATGTCATTTTGAATGTATGTCTGTGTGTATGTATGTATGTGTGTCTGTATGTCTGTGTCTGTATGTATGTGTCTTTATGTCCTCATGCATGTGTGTCTGTATGTATGTTAGTATGTGTCTGTCTGTCACTATGTATGCCTGTGTGTCTGTATATGTGTGTATGTCTCAGTATGTGTGTGTCAGTTTGTATGCCTGTATGTGTGTATATCTGTTTCAGTATGTGTGTCTGTTAGTATGTATCTGTGTCCTTTTGTATCAGTGTGTGTGTTTGTGTCTGTGTGTATTCCTGTGGGCAGTATTTGGAGGTGGACCCTACGGGCGGGATTGGAATCGGGCCCCAGGGGGCCCAGACCCTGAGCTGAGTTAGGGGCCCCAAAATTTCTGGTGGCGGCCCTGCTTGGGCATGTGCGTTTGCCAGTGACAGAAGTGTATTGGTGGGATTACTGACAATTAGTGAGTATGCTGAATTAGGACATAGATTTCCAATTACCTGCACAGAACACTGGGAAGTATATGACGCTTTTTGCAGAGCTCTCTTTTGACAACAAGTGAATTCAGAGCTGCATTTTTGGAGAGTTTGCTCTGGTGCCTGTCCCAGAAAAGTGGGATACTTGAATAAAATCTAGTTGTACCTAGGAGACTATAATATCAGATCTAGTGCAATGGAAGAGTTATTACTATTATCTGATCTGCTTTTGAAATGGATTAACGGACAAATTAGCTTTACTAATGTTATAAATCCAGCTCTGCAACTTTTGTCAACATTTATTGCAATAGATTTATAAAGCACCGTCAGAACTTTAAATATTCAGCTAATCTCCACACTCTAGCCAATGCACATCTTATTTGCTGTTTGACGATGGTACACTAGATGTGTATGTCTATCACATTAATTTTAGCGTTTAGCGTTAAAATATAGAATACAAGGCCAAATTTAGAATTTTTGTCAAAAAAAAAATAGGATTTAAAGTAAAGTGGCAAACATTAGAAAATTAATTATTTTTAAAATTAAAATTGCTACTTTATAAAAATGTTGTAATGACCGATCTATGTCAATTTCAGTCCAAGATGTTTGTTCACTAAACTCTGAATTGTAGTAAAGTGAACTAGGAGTGTCAAAAATATCTGATACCAGTTATAGTCACATCTATTTTAGCCTAGATTCAGTCATTCAGACTTCAGTTTGCTACAAATTGAGGTTTTGTTAATAAACTTATTAAACCCCTCTCTCTAGTTTTGCATTATAATGCAACAGAATTTGGGAATTATGGATTAATAGCAGATAATATTAAAGAGAATAATTATATAAACATAGAATGTGACGGCAGATAAGAACCATTCGGCCATCTAGTCTGCCTAATTTTTTAAATACTTTCATTATTCCCTGGCCATATCTTATAGTTAGGATAGCCTTATGCATATCCCACGCATGCTTAAACTCCTTTTCTGTGTTAACCTCTACCATTTCAGCTGGAAGGCTATTCCATGCATCCACTACTCTCTCAGTAAAGTAATACTTTCTGATATTATTTTTAAACCTTTGCCCCTCTAATTTAAGACTATGTCCTCTTGTTGTGGTAGTTTTTCTTCTTTTAAATATAGTCTCCTCCTTTACTGTGTTGATTCCCTTTATTCATATAAATGTTTCTATTATCAGTTTATCGTTATTATTTATTTATTTTAAACCTTTTTAAGTAAGTAATTCTCCTAGAAGATTGTTTAAAGAGGCATGCAAGATGTTTGGTTGATGTGATCACTACTGTGGTGATAGCCAACATTGGTACTGCAGATGTTTGTGAGCTTAATGGAGTCCACAAATCTCTGCGGTGCCAAGATTAGCAATCACCGCTCTAGTGCCTCCAATATGTTATAATCTAAACATTAACTGAAAGTGTTTATCTGTTTGTAATATTTATTTATTTTTGTAAAATCTGCTAATAAAAACGTAATTTTGCAAATATTTTATTTTATTTTGTTTACTGATGATTTTGATTTATGCCATCCGCACACATTTAATATATAAAAAGTGTGTGTATGCATTTGTGTATGTCTGAGTGTATATGAACATAATGGAGTGGGCTGCACTCACAATTTGAGTAGATTATGTCTCGGTGCTAAACTGTAAGAAGTTTAATAAAGAGTAATCCAAAAAAACTTTTTTTTAGTTTTTATAAAACACGGTTAAAACGGCAGTAGTCCTTTTGATCTTTGGACCTTTATCAAGACTTTCTGATGAAGGTCCCAGGATTGGCCAAATATACTAACTCAAGATGAACACTGTAAACATTTGTTATGTTAAAGATAGGATAGAAAAGCATGTTAAATATTAAGGAAAATGGGAAGCCATGCATTTTTTAATTATATTTTTTTTCTTTTCATATTTACACTTGATGTTACTACGCAGCTCCTGAATTCGCCGGTATCTTGCAGTCCTGTAAGTGTTTAATCTTATAATATCAGGCTATTCAACTGGGATGTGGGGACTCACTAGTATTTCTCTTAGAAAATGGCATTTCATTCAAACTGCTTTCCATTAGAATACCTATCCATCTACATATGTCCATATATATAATTGCAAGAAAAAGTATGTGAACCCTTTGGAATGATATGGATTTCTGCACAAATTGGTCATAAAATGTGATCTTATCATCTAAGTCACAACAATAGACAATCACAGTCTGCTTAAACTAATAACACACAAAGAATGAAATGTTGCCATGTTTTTATTGAACACACCATGTAAATATTCACAGTGCAGGTGGAAAAAGTATGTGAACCCCTAGACTAATGACATCTCCAACAGCTAATTGGAGTGAGATGTCAGCCAACTGGAGTCCAATTAATGAGATGAGATTGGAGGTGTTGGTTACAGCTGTCCTGCCCTATAAAAAACACACACCAGTTCTGGGTTTGCTTTTTACAAGAAGCATTGCCTGATGTGAATGATGCCTCGCACAAAAGAGCTCTCTGAAGACCTTCGATTAAGAATTGTTGACTTGCATAAAGCTGCAAAGGGTTATAAAAGTATCTCCAAAAGCCTTGCTGTTCATCAGTCCACGGTAAGACAAATTGTCTATAAATGGAGAAAGTTCAGCACTGCTGCTACTCTCCCTAGGAGTGGCCGTCCTGTAAAGATGACTGCAAGAGCACAGCGCAGACTGCTCAATGAGGTGAAGAAGAATCCTAGAGTGTCAGCTAAAGACTTACAAAAGTCACTGGCAAATGCTAACATCCCTGTTAGCGAATCTACAATACGTAAAACACTAAACAAGAATGGATTTCATGGGAGGATACCACAGAGGAAGCCACTGCTGTCCAAACAAAACATTGCTGCACGTTTACAGTTTGCACTAGAGCACCTGGATGTTCCACAGCAGTACTGGCAAAATATTCTGTGGACAGATGCAACCAAAGTTGAGTTGTTTGGAAGAAACACACAACACTATGTGTGGCGAAAAAAAGGCACAGCACACCAACATCAAAATCTCATCCCAACTGTGAAGTATGGTGGTTGGGGCATCATGGCTTGGGGCTGCTTTGCTGCGTCAGGGCCTGGACGGATTGCTATCATCGAAGGAAAACTGAATTCCCAAGTTTATCAAGACATTTTGCAGGAGAACTTAAGGCCATCTGCCTACCAGCTGAAGCTCAACAGAAGATGCAACAGGACTATGACCCAAAGCATAGAAGTAAATCAACAACAGAATGGCTTAAACAGAAGAAAATACGCCTTCTGAAGTGGCCCAGTCAGAGTCCTGACCTCAACCCGATTGAGATGCTGTGGCATGACCTCAAGAAAGCGATTCACACCAGACATACCAAGAATATTGCTGAACTGAAACAGTTCTGTAAAGAGGAATGGTCAAGAATTACTCCTGACCGTTGTGCACGTCTGATCTGCAACTACTGGAAACGTTTGGTTGAAGTTATTGCTGCCAGAAGAAGGTTCAACCAGTTATTAAATCCAAGGGTTCACATACTTTTTCCACCTGCACTGTGAATGTTTACATAGTGTGTTCAATAAAAACATGGCAACATTTCATTCTTTGTGTGTTATTAGTTTAAGCAGACTGTGATTGTCTATTGTTGTGACTTAGATGATTATCAGATCACATTTTATGACCAATTTGTGCAGAAATCCATATCATTCCAAAGGGTTCACATACTTTTTCTTGCAACTGTATACACATAATCAAAACCACACATTATATTTTTTATTTACTGTACTTTTGATCATCTTCTGTGATATTAAACATATTGAGAAATATGACTCCTCTTGAAAATAGTAGACATTGCTTAAATCCATTCAACTACATACAAACTGTTATAATGTAAGGACATATTTTTAATTTGTGCTAGAATGTGATGTCGTGTTTGATATGTAGTGCGTTTGTTTGTCTAACTAGCTGCGTATTCATTGTAATTACTTAGTGATAAGAATTATTTTTAACAGTTTATTCCTAAAAGTGGTGGAAAAAAAAGGCAAAATAAACAGTTGGCTTGGAGAATTTATCTAAATAGACTATTTGGGCCTAAATTTTCCAGTTCACCTTCATTCACTTTGAATCGCCACCAATTCTTACTTTAGTGAATGATACTGTAATTCTGTCATCAGAAAGAATACATTGATATTGTATTAAGTCTTGAGCTATCGATGCTATTATTACCAAACTGAACAAAGCTCATTTCATATATCTCATCAGGATCAAAGGTTGAGTTTAAAAGTAAAAAAAAAAAAAAGTCAAATATAAAGAATTAAAAAAGGGGGTATTCCAAGCACCATGACCACTCAGTGATTTGAAGTGGTCATGGGTCTCAGCGTTTGCATGTTTCACCAAGAAACCCTATACAAACAGTGATATTAAATTTCTCATTGACATCTAGGAAAGATAGTTCCAGGTTGCTAGTGTGAATTCTGTTCTTAAACGGCATCTGTTGTCTGGACACATAGCATGCTGGTGACAGACTTCTATGTGCGGAACAGTCACCAATCCCCTGTTTTTGGGAAGGGAGGGGAGAGGTACACTAAATATTCTTGAAAACAAACAAATCGGACTGGCATGTATATTTTGTGCATTTAACACTTAATAAAAAAAAAAAAGATTTGCTTAAAAAAAAATGAAATAAATTCAGTAAACTGTAGATTTGTGTAGAAATTGCTTCTTTTTTCAAAACGGTAAATATACAGAATATCGGTATCGGTTTATCGGCTCTCAGCCTAAAAGTCTAAAAATATCAATATCGGTCGATCCCTAGATAGGAGCCATTTGCTTTCTAGGTAGACCTCATGTGTGAATTTATACAGTCATATTATCTCAAGTAGAAAAGATATGTGTCAATAATTGTAATAATTATAATTATATAATTCATAGGATTATTGATGTTCCTTTCTCGTTTTATACTTTTTTCCCCCCTAAAATTACTTAAGATAATTATTTCTCTATTTTTTTATCATATTCAATTCAGAGCCAAATTGTTGCATTATTGCTAAAATAATTGATGTGACCAAATCAGATATTTTACCCAGCTCTGGTAATTTAGCATGCATTTATCAAATTGGTTCTCAGGTTGCCAAATCTTATTATTTAATTAATTAATTAATTTGACTATTTGTCTCAAAGAGACTGGACTTTCCATAAATATATCATGTGTGGTTCTGTTTGAAGACTACCTATGTCAATGGGGATAAAGAGACAGGAATACACATTACTGCTTTCCAGATTATTAGATATCTCTGACACCACTGCATTGTTGTATTTGTTTTTAATTGTTTTCACAGTCTATACCTATTGCAGGAATATTTTTTTAGCTATTTTCTTTTCAAACTAAAAGTAGACTACCACTCAGACAACTTTGAGATAACATTCTGTGCAGTAAAGGTGCTAGTTGGTATGTGTATATAAACTCAAATGAAAAATATAATCTGATAACACATTTTTTTCTATAATGTGTTGTATCCAGGAATCCTGAAAATTCAGACATGCCGCATATTACTTGGTTAAAAGAACCCTGTAGGCACCCAGCCTACATCATCTCAACAAAGTGGTCTAGGTGCCATGTGCTCCCTGTATTAACTCTGCAGCTGAAACCATTACATTCTGCAGGAACAGCAATTTTTACTGCTTTTCCTTTTGTTGTTGTTGTAGGATTAACCTGCCTCCAGTGACTGTCATACTGACATGTTTGTATTCCTAACACTATAGTATTCCTTTAAATGTAGTGCTTTGTAATATAGCTTGGTTAAATAGTGTGATCTTTTTTATTAGTTTGGCTAAATGTACTTATATCTTGTAGTATGGTTGCATTTTTACATCTTTTTAGTTGGGGAAAAAACATGTACAGCATTGCTCTGTGATACACTGAGAGCTCCAACAGCAGTGGCGTGCTTTACTGCATTGAGTACATGCAGCCCGTGTAAATATACTGAGGTCACTATTTCAGAGGGCTCTGTATGCTTTTATGAATCGGCATCTATGAAGTGGCATTATTTCTTATTGTCCTGCAGATTTGTCACATTGTTGGTTACTTTTAAATTATTTAAACCAGATCTGTCAATTTCGGGAGTCTTTGCATATTTATTTTTTTATTATTATTATGTTATTATTTATATAGCGACAACAAATTCCGCAGCGCTTTACAATGGGTGGATGAACAAACATGTAGTTGTAACCAGACAAGTTGGACACACAGGAACAGAGGGGTTGAGGGCCCTGCTCAATGAGCTTACATGCTAGAGGGAGTGGGGTAAAGTGACACAAAAGGTAAGGATCGTATTAGACTAATTTCACAAAGACCCCCGAAAATGACAATGGGGAAGTGGGATTTACTTACCTTCAGCTGTCTCTCGCAGCCATTTCCATGCCTCAGGTCTGTTCGGGTTCAGGCACTTCCGCTGCCAAGAGCCACGTCAGTGCTGTACTCTCACACATGCACAAGAGTACAAAACTGAGGTCTATGAAAGAACCTGTGAGACTACAGGTCCCTCCTTAGACAAAGCCTGGATTCCACAGGAGCACCTCCTTTTGTCAAGTTTAGTCAACCTATAAGACAAAGTAGTGTCTACTTTGTCTTATATCATCTTTGGATTGAGTTGAAATTTCAGTGAAATTCCAACACAGTCTTAATCAGTATTTCATGCAGAATATATCTTTATGAAATACTGAAAAGTGACGAATCCGCTTTAATACAGTACACTTATTTCTTATTGTCATGGTTTTGTGTATTTCCAAAGTGTTGTGTGTCGCCATTTATGAGGGACAGTCTCTATTTTTGGCTCCAATGCCTCTGTCTGTTTATTTTTTTCGAAGCTCTGCATTTTTGGTGTGTCTGCGTGTGTAACAGAGCTTCACAGCAGTAATACTCACAGTAATGTGTCTTTAAACTACAATAAACATGTTTAGAAATAAGTCTGTGTAAATGATACATTTTTTTGTTCTAAATTACGTTTTAGTTGCGTAAATTATTAGTAAGTCACCTAAAATTTCTCAGAACGGCCCTGCCTCTGATCACACCCACACTCACTTCATTAACATATTGAGAGGTATGAATAATGCATACTTTTTTTACTGATTGATATTCAGTTTTAGATATTCTATTTTCATCATTCCTCCCGTTAGCCTAATATATAAATATACAAAGGATAAAATAATTTAAGAAGGATTTTATGTTGCTATGCAACACACCTGTCCTTGTCATGTTGTCGCATGATTATAGACTCCAAATAATTAGCCCCTATGAAAATATTTGGCATGATCAAAAAAGTACTTGTATTATTCATGCATTAAAAGGTTAAGAAAATAATATTCCTAGTTCTAGTATGAATTTTAAAAGTAAATAATGTGCATCTGATTTATTTGTGAATGGTGTTGATGATGATCTATATGAATCTTCAGTTGTGAGAAGACAGCTCTTAAAGAGATACTGTAGTGCCAGGAATGCAAAGCTGTATTCCTGGCACTACCGCCCCTGACAGCCACTGAGGACAGACTTAGAGCTGCAAAGTAAACATTGCAGTTTCTTTGGAACTGCAGTGTTTTACATTGCCACATCAAGTGCAAAAGGGACAGTGCATCCAGACCACTTCAATTAGCTAAAGTGGTCTGGGTGCCTACATTGTCCCTTTAAAGAAGAAATGTTGGAGATCCACGAGATATGTCCCGCCGACAGAGCTGGTAGAGACTAATGCAACGGATAATGTCAAAAAAGCTTAAAATAGACACACTTTTGACCCGTCTTGCTTTTAACTGTTGTCACAATCTTTCTTTTTTTGAAGGGAAATTATGGGCACCAAAACCACCACATACAAATTGATCATATGGCTTGTCCTTGAAGGCTGAGCAGTGTAAATGCTTTGTTTTCTAAGAAAAGGCATTGTTTACATTTCTGCCTAAAGCCACCCTTATTGGCTGTCACTCAGACAGCTACTAAAGGGACTTATTTTGTTCAGTCCTGCAAAGATTACAGGACTGATGTTCACCAAGCATGGGAAGCTGAATGTTCCCATAGAGATGCATTGACTCAATGCATCTCTATGAGGAGATGCTGACTGGTACTGTGGATTTACACTATCCACCCAGTGCTCCGTCTAGGAAGGCATAGGATTGGCTGGGATTATATGGGTTGGTGACCTTAGCTGGGGAGTGGGGTAACCACTTAAAGACCAGTGCATTAGGGGACTAAGAGCAAATTAAACACTTTTTTAATGCACACAGGGTTCCCCAATATTCTAAATAGTTTTCAGAACACAATGTTTGTATTTCTGATGCTATAGTGTTCCTTTAAATACTCAAAAAAATATAAAAGTGCACTTATATACCGTAGTGCAAACTTGTCCCTTTATAAGGTGTGTGCCATCTTAAAAGCACACAGTTCTGGTTCTATTTTACTTGATTCATATTTTTTATTTCACATGTCATTTTATTTATTATATATATATATAGTTATATGCCTGATACCCTCAACCAGTATTGGCATCTTCTATACACATAATTTGTTTTGTACAATTATCTTTTGAAAGGGTGCAAGTCAGGGTAATTATTGCATACTGAGCAATAGGATTGGCTGCAATATCCCAGCCACTTCCTGATTTAAGAGAGACGTATAGAACAGGGGCTGGGGAGCTGTTCCAAAACTGTAATAATAAAGTATTTATCATTATGATTTCACTCTATTTTAAATCAATGTCTAGCTGATATATTCCAAATAATGAATGTTAATACCCACGCAGGTCTTATAATAGTTACTCAGTACAGTGTTCTGCCTGTTGAATGTCTTTTATTTCTGCAATGTTATAAATGATCCAGGAGGTGGCCCCTAATTCTGGTTATACATTTTACAATTCCTGTTATGTTTTTAGCATAACTATGTTCTTTATACTGTGTATTATGACTGTGTTAACAGAGTTATACATTATTAATGGTTGCTTTTTTTTTCTTTTCTTTTTTTTGTCAAAGCTTGTAAACGCAAGGAACAAGAACCTAACAAAGACAGAAATAACAGTCAGAAGAAATCCCGCCTAGTTTTCACAGACCTCCAACGTAGAACGCTATTTGCAATCTTCAAAGAGAACAAGCGCCCATCCAAAGAAATGCAGATTACCATCTCCCAGCAATTGGGCTTGGAAATCACCACTGTCAGTAACTTCTTCATGAATGCCAGGAGGCGAAGCCTGGAGAAGTGGCAGGACGATTTAAGTACGGGGGGAAGCTCCTCAAACTCCAGCACTTGTACCAAAGCATGAGGGCAAACAAAGGATTCTAAGTGGGGCACAACTCAACTGTAACCAAAAAAAAGAGGAAAGAAAGGATATATATAAATATATATATATTTTTTTTAGCGGGGCTATTCACTGGTGATACTTTTCTTTGTTTTGTTATACATTATATTCACCTGGGTTGACTTTCAGAGATGTCTCTACAAAACTGGTGCCATATTGGCCTTTTTCCACCCTGATGGCAAGACCAACTTTCGCATCAACAGAATGGCCAAATTTAAATTTCAGAGCCTTCACACACTATGGGTCTTGCAACGCCGGTGGCACTCTCTTTTTAAAGCACTCTCTCATCAGTTTAAGGCACTTGGTTTAACATGTCAACCAGCAATTACAATGAGGATCTCACTGTTTTAAGCGTATCTTCAGAACGCTGATACCGTCCATAGCACAAGAAACCAAAGATAACATTAAGCAGAACCACATAACTCCATGTCCCATACCAGAGCACAATTTCTTCTATGCTTCAAGAGAAAAATCCTATGTACTGTTTTGTTTTTATTATATCAGAATGATTTAATTTATTTTTAGATATATTTTTCAGCCTTTATATATTTTCACAGAATGACCATACACCTTTCCGATACAGTAACAAAAAAATAAATAAATATATATATATACTATAGTATTAAGCACAAAATAGCACTGATATCCCACAAATAAACCTCAGTTTACTCATACACTCAGTTGGTAGAAACATTGAAATTCACCGGGCATGTTTCATGTCGTACACAGAGATGTACACTCAGGAGATCACTAAAACTATGTACCGAAGAAGAGAAGCTGTTCAAACTGGGTTTTTTTTAGATCAGCTTTTTACATTTGCCAAATACAGAAAAAGATGCAAAAAAACACCCCAAAACAATGGAATATGGAATCTGTCACATGCAATATTTTTTTTAATTACTTTTTCACTTTACTTTTATTTATTTATATTTTAGCCAGCTCATTTATCTAACTGATTGCCATTTTGCCATACGGCACAAAGTTAGAGAACAGGACATATATACATTTATACTCATCTTCTCCCTTATCTGAAGACAGTACAGCAAACCAAAGAACAATGTCTAACCAAAGAAAGAAAAACAATTATCTAGTTTTACAACCCACAAATACTGTGATTGCTTCGGAAATCAGAAAGCCACGTAGTTTTCAGCTTATCTTATACATTTTTTTTTATTTTTTTTATTTGCTGGGAAAGCAATTATACAATGTCTTCGTGGACATTTCACGCTGCCGGAGGATTGGCACAGGTAGAAAATACAGCTGCTATCCGTCACCAAGGAAACAATGCTTATGGTTACTTTATGTTCCTGCTCACCAGTGAATGGCCCCTCTTAGAACACTTGAGTCTGTGTTCCAAAGCTACGGCCAAAGGCTATAATAACTCTTTAAAGACACTTGAGACCTTTTTTTATGTACAACTTAATCGAAACCAAAGAAACTTTTTTTTTTTTTCCGCACCTACTTCTGCAACAAACTGTTGCATTAAAGAAAAGGAAGCACGTCAGGAAAAAAAAACCAACAAAAACAAACACATAAAAAAACCAAAAAAAACTACACACTGTGTTTGGACAGACATCTTAGGAAGCAGATCTCAAAGATAGGGTTTGAAAGGGTTAAAAAAGCAAAGTAAAGAATACAGTACGTGGTTGCTGCTTCATTTGACAACACACATAATTATCTTAAAGTTGAAGATTGTCTTTAATTTGTGCCTATGCAGTTTTTCAAAGAACAAGGATTTGGAGCAACGTAAACCTCAACAGCTACAATACCAAAGATGAGAATTTCTCACGTTGTGTTTTTTTATTTTAGATCAGCTCATAGTCTCTCTTCTTGCACAGTTTAAACACGGTATCACCATTGATTTTTGTTACCAATAATTCTATTTCTTTGAACAAAAAAGATTGGTAGTATATCCCTTATCCGTTACTCCAGTCTTAAGGTGTTGGGATACTATACTTATAGTTATATATGCTCTGTGTTCAGGTGAAATGCGTCAGGTTTCTTCTTGAAAATTATAGTTGTTTCTTGCTCACTGATTTCCTTTTAATCACGTCAATAATTTAAATTATTAAGTCAATAAGTCAATAATTTAAATTATTGACATAAATGTGCATTTAACGGCTTTTCTTCGACAACTCTAGCTTGAAAAAATAAGACCGCATCTGTGTGAACAGACAAATACAGTGTTGGCTGCATCACTAAGTCTAATGGTTGCTAAATGGTATTGCAGAGATTTCTGAATTACATTTCCTGTAGAATGACTGAGTATTATGGGAAATGTAATACAGACATCTGTAATGCTAAGGCTATCCAACTCTAACTATTATTAACTAAGCCAACTAAGTTATATCTTCTGTACCAAGCACTGTTCAGAATGGAATATCCCTGGGTCACAGCTGTCTAGCTAATCCTAGACTATAACTCCAATTACTTTTAATTGCAGTCTATCATAACATATGGATTTTAGCTATAGAACATCTCTAATCCATAAAGAAATAACAGTTTTGTCTGCAATTATTCAACAAATATTTTGAACAAATCCATTCCAGATTATATCACTACATTGTGATGGAATATTTCAACTGAAAAACAAAAAAACTATTGAAATACGTTTTTAAAATATAAACGGTCTTTGAGCAAGAAACCTATAAATATGAATCTTATGAAGAAACACTGATTTACAAATGTATAGTGGAAAAACAAATGCATTTTCATAAGAACTACAGGTTACCAAAGATAAGAAATGAAATATTCTCTTAATTATAATAGGGATTTTATTATTTGAATTTAGGTGGGTTTTTTTTTTTCTTCCCACAAAATAAATATTGTGTTAGCTACTAAAAACTCATAGCTGACTTCTACATCTCAATACCAAAATATTTTCACAGTTTATAGGCTAATTCTTCTTACAATTTGTGATTTCCTTGACCGTTCTCCACGATTCACAGCCCTAGTGTGGAATGAACTGTCTAAAAATATCACTTTCTGCCCGTTTTGTGCACATTTTGCCCTTCCTATATTATAAATTAATGATGATGATATGTTGTTGGCCCACCTGTATATCAGCAGTTATATTAGTCAGCAAGCATCACTTTGGTTTTAGCCTAAACCAGGGGTCCTCAAACTCCGGCTCCCCAGATGTTGCTGAACTACAACTCCCATGATTCTCTGGCTATCTATGTAATTCAAAGAATCATGGGAGTTGTAGTTCAGCAACATCTGGGGGGCCAGAGTTTGAGGACCCATGGCCTAAGCAATAAACCATGCCCCTATTGAACTGTAAACTTAAAATCACAAAAACGTGTCCATTGCAAGTATTTGATAGAGAAATTGTGGTTTTTTTTGCAGTATTGATAAAGGGCAAGGTTCATTGTTCAGTATGTCCCGTAAACCCGTTTTCTGCAATGTCCTGTTGTAGTGTAGATTTTAACTGGAAAATATACATGCCAGTAGAAAATTCAACAAGTCAGATATTAAACGGGCCTCTGCGTTAGGCAAACTAGCCCGCTTGCTCTGGTCACCATGTATAGCTGCTGAACTTTTCTAATTTAGAAAACATAACATTCAAGTTTTATTTTCAGTATACAAATAGTAACATGGAATCATTGATGGTAATATCTAAAGTGTTATATAGGAAATTGACCTGGTTACGATATGTATTGAGATATTCAGGGCAGGATTTCAAATACAATTAGTGTAGGCCTAATGTAATTTAAGATGATATTTCTTCGAGTCCATTACAATTAAATGTCTATAGATAGCTTGGCATCGTACAGCATTTGCTGTGAATGTTCTGGATCTTAGAAGAGTAAATTTGGCTCATGGATATGGGGAACATCTAGGGCAAAGTGCTGGACATGGTGCTGTCACCATGGAAACCAATAATATATTTCTATTCCAAGTTTAGTACTGTGCTTTGGAATAGCTCTTTGTGCAAATGGTTTATTATAATATAAGCAGCCCTATGCTTCAGATCCAAATATTAGATTTTACCATGTCAGAATTAAACCAATAGCTTCTATGCATTACAGAGCACATTCAGAAGGGAAAATTAACCAAAGACATCTTATTTAATGAAATATTTCTACAATGATCAAAAGCCAGTTCCCTTCTGATGATGGCGTAATTAAATGATTTTGATGCTTAAACAGCATTTGGTATCCCAATATCTTATGCATGTGCTGAGAGTTTATACCATGGGCACATCCAAGATGAATTCAACTTTCAAGAAACCTTTTTATTTAGTCATTCATGAAAGAACAATGAATGTGTTTAGTTACTTCGGTTCTATAGCTTTATTCTAAATCTCTTTTAACTCAAGCTAAATCCAAAGATCTAAGAAAGACTTAATTAGCAAAAGCAACACTTACTCTTACTTATGTAACATAATTCTCTTTTCACTGACGTTGACAAAGCCCTATTGGCAGTGCCCAATTTGGAATGTAGTAGCATGTCATTTGCTTATCATAGAATGGTCGTATATATTTCAGGTTTTAGGGTTTATTTTTATTTTTTTAATATTGGCTGTTATTTATTTATTAATGCAATTGAGACAAAGTTTAATTATTTATAATTTAAAGTGAACAATGCTATATTTTTAAATTAATTCCTTTTTTCTTGACCCCCATCCTTAACCCTCCTATCTAATTGGTTTTACGTTAAATGTACAATTAATTTATTACAATCAATTTTAGGGAAATAATGTATTGCATATTTCTGTAATTATTTAATTTAATTTTTAGTTTGAATTTGTAAATGCCTCTGCTTATTTAACTAATATTTTTAAAACAAATTTCAGCATCAGAGATGCATTCACCCTGTATTTTTTATCTTGCTTTATAAGGCAGCCAAATTCTGTTACATACAGGGGAAAATACAGGTTACAAACAAAATACTTTTCCAAAAAAATGTATTTAATTTGTCTATCTTTTAAGGTTCTGTAATTAAATTATTTAAGTTAAACCTCCCCCCCAAGCTAATTGTGGACAAAATTGGGGGGGATTAACATGATTTTTAGCATTTTATGCCACTTTGCGACTTATTTATTTAATTTATTCAGCATCCATGTTAAAGGTGCGTTTGTATAGTTTATATTTTTATTTACAACTGAAGCACTACATTATTTGCTGATTAGAACAACAGAGCGAAATTTGTGGACAAGCATTTATGATGACTCTCGAGTTATACAGTTTTAGGAAAGGATGACACTGCTGTATTTATTCACCAAAGATTTGCAAGAAACTTTATAGCTTTAAGGCTTCTATCACAAGCTGGAAAAATAATAAAAAATAAATAAAATAATTTAAAAAAAAAAGACATTCCAAACACAAAAACAAGCGAGAGAGAAAACCCTTAACCAGCTGCTTCCAAGAAAGAACTATGTGTGTAATGGAAAAAAAAATAAAATAAAAAAAGAAATAAAAAAGAAAACAAAAACATTTCTATTCCAAGTGAGAACCATAAATAGGCTACCTCACTGACTTTTTTCCTTTTGTAATTTTAATCGTGTTGATGATACCAAAGATACCAAAGATTTGTTTCATGTGCGGTCTGTTCCTTGCATCTGCTCATTTCCAACTTCTATTCTTATTTGGTTGAAGAAAGGCATACAAAGTTAAATTGAAGGTCCTTCTTTAACTAAAATAATCTTACTCTCTTACATATATACAGCTGAAGCTCAGATACCCCAAAGAAAAGTCTGTGTGGAATTTGCCTATTGAAATCAGGGAAGTCTTTGGTACTCATAACTGCAGAGCTTAAGGTGGCAACGCAGGGTGTTGCTAGTTCATGTGACAATGGATCAGGAAAATAGTTACATTGATCAGACATATAATAGAATTTTCAATGGACTTTCATATAATTGTTGATAATAGATGTTTAAAGATTAAAGGTACAAATTTCAGAAAAGGCTTACAGTTCCTGAAAGGATTAATGACCATCGCAGTAGATAAACACTCTCTCAAAATTGAGGCCAAGTGCAGATGGTGATTAATTCAAAGTTTAGTGAATTATAATTGCAGTTTAATGCAGAAACCCAAAACAAGAGCACACACTTGAAATAGCAGTAGCATGCTTCTGGTTAGACAGATTGTAGCATGCAGGCCATCACAGCTAAGGTATGAGTATGTGTTATATACACACACACACAGCACTTGGTATCAAAGTGACTAACAACACCTCGCAGTGAGTAACACTCCTCGCACCGGTATGGACGAACTGGGCAATTCATTGCTGAAAATTAAAACACTCCAGCTGGTGAGGGACAAATCAATCATTGCCGTCACCTGAAGGTTGTCATGAGTTGAAGTCCCAGGTGTTGGATACCGTGTTACTCACAGCTGCCTTAAGTAAACAGGGTATACCAGTACCAATAACCCTGACGGAATAGCTTCCTCCACACTCACTGTGTTTCCTCTCCGCATCACACTTTGCTTGCAGAGTATGACGTAACTATGGGACAAGTGCCTTGCTTGAACCAAAGCAACTGTTAAGTTGGTCTAGCCTGCCCTTCTCTCTATTTTGTTTCCCCATGGGAATATGTCTGTAGAGCTAGAACACCCATAACTCATTGGTGCACATAACATCAGTCTAGACTCGAGCTTTAAACTATATCTTGCTTTTCAAAAAAAACTATGTACACTAATACCAAAGTTCCTCCTAACTATCCTATGTCCCAAGTTCTGCGCTTTCTGTAGATAGATATATATATATATAAATATAAATATTTTTCTTTCTTACTCTCTTTGTATCTTCACGGTTCCAAAGCTTTAATATGGAATTAGGCAGCATGGCAACGCAGACCGCACAATTCCTTACCGATTTTTCTCAGATATACCTCATAGATAATAGTGTTTAGAGTAATGTTATTATAGCGTATGTAATATATTGCTCACTGTTTCTTTTAGTAACTGTGATTTAAAGAAAAAAAAGCTTTATATGTTCTAGGTTGTGATTTTGTAATAGTCAAGAAGGTGCGCTTTATGATGAAACAATGTCGGTCTTTTTTGTTTATTTTTGGATTTTATTTATTACGGATCGGGGGAAAGTTGTAGAATGAGGCCCAACGTTTACAGTTTTCATATTTTGTTTTTATTTTCTTGCTGAAGAAACAACCAATATTAACGTCTTTATGGTCAGAGGGACTTTGCTGAGCAAAGCGTTTTATGAGCTCTGGCTTGAAAGAGATTAATTTGTTTTGTTGAATAAAAAGAAAATAAATACTGTTTTCCACATTTGTGCTACCGTTTTAAAAATTGTAATGTCTGTGCTTTTGTTATTTGTAACTACCAGTCAATGCATGAGAAAAAGACAATTCAACATTAGTTACAATGTACTGCATCGTGGTTCTTAATTGCAACATTCTCTCCTACTCCAAACAAATTGTTTTATGTCTATATTTTTCAGTTATTTTAACGTTCTGCACAGGGAGCTACTATTTTGTTACAAAATGGTGCGACTACTGTACAGTATATAAAAAAACTGTAAACACATGCACAATGTACACTTATGGAGTTGAAATACAAACAAGATTTATCAGGTATGCAAAGTATTGCATTGTTATGGAAGATCAAATTAAAAGTGCAAACATGTATTGTTATGTCGATCCTAGTAGTAGGTAGCCTGCAGCTCTCAGGCTGTTGATGGAATATAAATCCAATGATTCTTTGCAGCGCTGTAGACTGGCATAGGATTATGGGAGTTGTACTTTATCGATAGCTGGAAAATAACAGGCTGTCTTTTTCTGGCCTAGGTCCTCATAATTAATACAGTTTAGTATTCGTACACTCATATTAATAATGGAGCAGATATACAAAGCTGGGGTCTATCAGTCCGGGCATTCAAAGACATTTTCTGCTTTGTTTTTATCCCGTATATATATGTTTTTCACACACTGAACAGCATGATTTAGTTAAAAAAACCAAAAACAAATACCAGATGTACAGGTTAGTGACTGTAGTGTCTAGCTTCCAGCTGAGTATTGCACAAACTTGGACCTTAAGCAGATAACACCTGTACCTTGATCTGTAAACAGGAAACATAATATGGTATGATTTATATGTTTTAACTTCTCCCATCAAGGAGTGCATGGACCAGTAATGTCTCAAACTTTCTTCTCCCGCTGGTGAAGTTCTATATTAGAAATCTCAGCCAGTATTGAATGACAAATTCACGTCCTTAGCACACAGCATTCTACTTGATGCATGCGAAATTTCAGAAATTGCATTTCTTTGCGATTTTTTTCTGTTTGCCATACCATACAATAAGCATTGAATATGTGCAAAAACATGATCTCAAAACAGTTCAGAGAATCTTTATAACAACCACACCCGGCAGTTTGCAGAAGAACAAAATGGTGTGCAGTAGAAAGGTCAGGATGTGGCTGTTATGAAGTTTGCCTTCTTGATTGTTTTAGTGCTAGATAACACTCAAAAGTGATTAGAGGCAGCATTAATAAGGCATAGGCTATCACTGGATGAGAATGTTGGGAATTGGAAAAAACATTAACTGCCACCCTAGCTGATCTAACACTGGAATTGTTTGCCACATTGTACATCTCTGTTCCTGTGTGCTCATCAAATATTAACTCTCTTCAGTACTTATGTTGGGTTGTACAATGTCACGTGTTCCCCAGATATTTACATTCTGTGGATTTTGTTATATGAAGACTGCGGGGTTGGAATAACACCCTTTGGTTAAATTTACAGCTATAAGCACCAAAGATGCATGAGTCAAAAATGTTTAAACAAGTAATGTACACACTATCCAATATCACATTGTATTGATTTCTGTTTTGTTGTATTAAGTCATCATGTGGCATTCAAAGAATCATGTCTTTGTTTATGTTTTTCTGTACTATGTATGTCTATTTTCTGCCAAAGAATACCAAAGGTTTCATAATATTCAAATTTACTACAAAGTGTTGGATGTGAGCAGCAGTTTATAATTCAAAACATATTCTGTGTTCTTCCACTAAAACGTGTTACCATTTGCAGTTCGGAATCTTTTGAATTTATGATGCCATGTATATAAGTGTATGGATTTAAAATAAGCCACCAAATGAAGTTTGCCAAAGAAAACAGTGCTTTGTGGTATTTCAGTTCATAATATATGTAAAAACAAATATGCTGTGTTGTTTTCTAAGTTTGTATTTTTTTTGTTGTTTTTTGTTCTTGTTTTATCTGATTCAGTATTCAAACAAACAAAACACATGCAATGTGGGTGATCTTACATATAATGTTCTTCCTCTGTTTTGCCAAAGAGTACAGCATTGTTTATTTGCCAAAAATCTGAATTTGTTTTCTCATGTTTTCTCATGTTTAAGTGTTCTACAAAATTTTAACGTTGCTTTCTACTTGCCTATTTTTTTTTTACTTTTTTGTTTGTTTGAATGATGTTTTTTATCCATCATATGTTAAGTTTACCTTTCATTTCTCAAAGTGCATTTCTAATTTAATTTGCCAAATCTATAACACATGCTTCCAGGCTTTTATTTTCTTTTGCCAAAAAATCCCCATCCCCTAACCCCTGGTCAACAAATCAGGCAGTAAACAAAAAGTGTCAGACTAACCTCCTTGCAAGGTAACCTTAAATGGAGTATACTTGTAATTGAAGGAAGTTTTAATATTGCTAGATAGCAAATTTAAAAGAAATATATTTTTAAATTCAAATTCACAGGATTAGTAACTTATTCCTTTAAAAAAACATGTTGCATATAAACGAGTTGGCAAAACCACAGAAATTAACACAGAACCAATTAGCAAGGCCTATGTGGTATGATAAATAGAAATTGACTATAAACAAATATAACGTAATATGCACAACTAACTAAAAACTTCATGGACTTTATTTATACGATTTACACACTATTACATGTATACCTGGAATTAAATAACAGACTACCAAACTCGTTACAACACTTGACTCAAAAAATACAACTAATTATCACTATATGTCACAGTTTTGTGGTGTAGGTGATAAGATTTGATACCTTGATACATCACACATTTATATACATACACAATCTTCTACTAATATTAACTTTATTCTTTTCAGATATATGTACAGTATGTATATAGGACAGGGTAGGAGATGTGCTAAGATTTGATACATTTTATTGCATCCACTCCAGCAAGAACAATTCCTCCAGGGTTCTGCCTGATTTTATACAGAACTGAAAAGGCTTTCTCATATCACACTTTTATAGATCACTCCCTTCACTAAACTGCTATAGCTATAAACATTAAGTCTTTGAGTGAAAGAGAGGTGACCAAACGCAATTCTCACCACTCTTGCTCTCATCAGGTTGAAACAAATTTACCTACTAAACTTTATTTTATTTTTCCTATCCTTCTAATATGTTTACATCTGCATACTATGTGTACGTTTTTTATGTTTTGTTTTGTTTTTGTTTGTTTTTTTACACTTAATTTAACCACCTGTTACTCCTTCTGTTACTGTGGTCCTTATTTCTGCTGCTGTTTCGACTAAAGGTGAACATGCTGGTAAATAATGATGCGTTCGGGCACCTTAAACCCATCGCTAAATTCCCAGTTCTCCCCTGATTCTGTTTAGTGTTGAGAGGCTATTTTGTATTTGATGTTTTTTCAACATAATGTCATCATTGTTAAACACTAATGTTTTGTCTTCAATGTCGCTTTAACTGGTTTCTTTTTATTTAATTCCTATCATTAAATGATAGTGCTGTAAATTCTGCAATTAATGTCAAATAAACAGCTTTAATTCACTGATTGAATGCCTTGTGTTCTTATAAATCTGTGGTCAACTTATGTTTGGTATTGTGTATACATTTATAACCCCTTGACAAACGGTATCCACTGCAAAATGTAGCATCTGTTACATGAGATAAACTAAATCTTTCCACTCCCGTCAAAGATACTGCACTGCAGATATTGATGGACTCCATTCCTGTAATGCACAGACTGTTTGTTTACCATGAAGAAGTCAGTAATGACTACTTCATCAAAATGCATTGGAGATGAAAATTGGAGGATTTTCTATAAAAGAAGGAACGACTCCAGATGTTTGTAAGTTATATTCCCCATGAATCTCAGAAATTACATTTAGGTGTCAGTGTGCACCGAGGCATCAAAGTGTGTGTATGCATGTGTGTGGTTGTTGTTGATTGTCAAAAAAGTGTGTGTGTGTGTCATGAATTATGTGAAAGATATGAATGGGGACATCTGACAACTTATTGACAATTATGATGAGCAACTTCAAATGTCACCATCACCTGATGGCAGCAGGAAAATGGAGTACATAGTCTACATAGCTGCTTTTTTTGTTGAGTGTGAGATATTTTGGTGGAGCCTGAGTAGAGAGATGTTAAAATGATGAAAAGGCACAGTCACTTAGTCAGAAATCCGTTTGTTCAGAAGTGCACTGTACACAGCCCTTCAAAGTGACCTCTGCCTGGCCACCAGGGCTGAGACCCCAACCCTCCAGCTCCTGCCTAAATGGTAGGTTAAAAAAGAGGAAAAGTATTTCCCCCCCCAAAGCGGGCATACCACATATATCTCTCGAGAGGGGATTAGCACACCCTGCATGCCACCATATGAAGACCCTCATATAGGGGCAACAAGTAACACTCCCCCTTTCACAGAAGACGTGCAGGGACGTGTACATAATCCGTTCTACCTACTGTAAAAACCATATGTAAACAAATGGAAGCGCCATTCAGTGTTACACATTGTAAACAAACAGAAATGTCGATTATTGTACAATCGTTGTTAAACGGTATGAAAAACTGTAATGACAAACCTAACGAAATTCAAACGCACCCCCCTGAACCCCACTTCCTTTCTGTACCCCTCAGAAACCCTTTGTCTTCCAACAAAAATAAAAATTGTCAAATTGAAAAAAAAAGAGGAAAAGTCCATATTTAAAATGTATGGCTGAAGAGTAATAATATGTTAAATGATTATAATTCAGCATGGACTGATGAGAGAGTCTCTTCACACTGCCTGCAACGCCATACATTAACTTTAAACTAAGTCCACCTTGTGCTTTCGAAACAAAAGAGAGTTTTTAAAGAATCAGAGAGAGTGCGGTGTGGGTCAATTAAATAATGGGAAATAAAAGTAGGCCATAGAATAGCAGGTTAAGGGAAAACACTTAATCTGGATGGGGTGGAAAGCAGAATAAAATATTTAACGAACAATGGTAACACAAATTAATGCATATTTATTATCATTATTGGCATTTATATAGTGCCAACTCCTTTTGCAGCACTTTACAATAGTATAAAAGGGGGAAATTACAATAAAAGTAACAGTTACAAATGTTACTGGAACAATAAGTTGATGAGGACCGTGCTCAAACGAGCAAACAGTCTAGAGGACTTTGGGTATAAAAATACAATAGGAAGGCCACCGAAGGGGATCGCAACCAAACAACAAAGTGGGAATGAAGCAGGACTGGAGGTGAGGGTTGAGTGTGTACATTTAGGAGAAAGCAAGAGACAGGTTTGTGAGATAGAGGTTACTCTGGGAAGCCATAAGCTTCCCTGAAGAGATGGATTTTGAGGGACTTCTTAAATGAATGAAGACTAGGGGAGAGTCTGATGGGAGTAGGCAGGCTGTTCCAAATAAAAGCGTGTGTTACCAGTAAGGAAGGAGAAGGTCATTGGTAGAGTGGAGAGACTGGGAAGAGGCGTACTTATATGAGATTTGTTAAGAGCTTTATATGTAAGGGTAACTATTTTAAATTGACTCTTATAGGATACAGGAACCTTGGCATGCTGCTACTGAGGCAGGATGAGAGAAGGAGGTTTCATTAGAAAAGGAGACACTGAATGAACATTGGGAGAGATTAGCAGTACCTACCTGATCGATGCGCTGCACGGCTGCGCTTATTGTTTGGGAAGTAACGCCTCCTGGAGTCCTTCAACGAATGTCATGCTGCAAAGTAACAGAGAGAGGGACGCTGCACACTTGCTGCGCCACTCTATAAAAAGTAATAATACACGTCATGTAAATGTCACGTCATCACTGCGACCCCATTCCCACACTCAGTGGGGTTTAAATAAAGTTTTAGCTACATTTCTCATTGCCCTGTAGTTGGTTGTGGCTTGGTATGTTGACTATTTTGACTTCTGTAATCCTGACTTGGCTAGTTAATATGTATTCCCAATTCTCTAGCATCCTGATTTTGGTTTGTTTTATGTTCATGCTTTTTCATTATTTTGCATTAAACCCAGCCATTCGAAGGTCTGGTAATACTTCCGTTCTATCTATCTGTTCCTGGCCTTTACTTGTAAGTTGGTTAGGATAGCTATGAAAGAGAGAGAGGACGAGAACCATGAGAGGACAGTGTCACAGGGACCGAGGGGTTGAAAAGTTTGGAGAAGGAGGACGTGATCCACAGTGTCAAAGGCAGCGGAAAGGTCAAGAAGAATTAATATAGAGTAGTGGCCTTTAGTTAGATCATCTGTAACTTTAATTAGAGCAGTGTCAGTAGAGTGCAGTGGGCGGAAGCCAGAGTGAAGAGGGTAAAGAAGAGAGTAGGAATTAAGGAAGCAAGCCAGACGGGTAAAGGCAAGTCTTTCTAGGTGCTTTGAGGAAAAAGGGAGCCAAGATATGGGATGATAGCTGGAAGGGGAGACTGGTAGAGAGATGACTTTTTTAGGATGGGTCTGACAGTAGCATGTTTAAGGGGAGCAGGGTCAATGCCAGAAGAAAGAGACCAGTTAAAGATATGCATTTAGGATGATACAAGACAAGGGGAGAGAGATCTGGTAAGGTGAGATGGGACAGAATCAAGTTGGCAAGTGGGTGGGGGGAGGGGGTGAGAGGAAAGGAGAACCACAGTCACTTCTTATTCAGTAGCCAGAGAGAAGGTCTGAAGTGTAGGTATGGCACTGTCCAAGTGTGGTTGAGAGGGAGAGGAGCAAAGGGGAGAGGAAATTATTTCCTTACCTGTTCATTCTTGTCAGTGGTGGCCTAAGCAGGGTGAAGAAGAGAGTTGAAGCTGTCAAAGAAACATCTGGGATTGTGAGAGAATGAACTAATGAGAGATATTGACTCTTTAGCAAGGGTGAGGACTGCACTGTATGAACATGAGATTAATTTATAATGGAGAAAGTCTAACAAGGTGCAGGACTTCCTCCAGCAGCATTCAGCAGAATGAGAGCATCTCTGCAGGTACTGTATTGACTTATGGTGCCATGGTTGGAGGCGCATCCCCCTTTAGGTGTACGTTTGGAGCGGGACTGCAGTGTCCAGGGCAGTGGTGAGCATTGCATGAGGAAATAGCCAATGAAGGACAGGAGAAGTTAGAGATGGATGAGAGTTGAGAATGGACATCAGCTAAGAGCTGCTGGAGGTCAATAGAATTCAGGTTCCTCCTAAGTTGAGGGGGGTTAAGCTGGGAATGTTAGATGAGGGGAATCTCAGGAACAAAAGAGGTGGTAATCTGAGAGGGGGGATTTAGTTTTACAGAGATTAGGGACTGCATGCATCTTAAAAAAATGAGATCAAGTTTATTGAAGGCTACATGCGTGGGAGAATTAGCCTAATGTGATGGGGAAGGAAGTACTTGAAAGAGATTTTGAAGCTACTGATGTCAAGGGTGGATTAATTGAATGTTGAGTCCCCAAGAATTAGGGATGGAATATTAGAGGAGAGCCAGGCAGCAAAATGGTCAAGGAAAATAAGAGGGGGTGATAAATAACAGCAATGTTTGCAGAGATGGGTTTGAACAAGCGAATTGAAAGAATTTCACATGAGAAAGGGGAGGAGAGGGCATTAGGGATGGGAAGAGGCTTGAAGGACCAGTGGGGTGAAAGCAGAAACCCTATTCCACCACCTTTATTGTCAGAATGTCCTAGGTTGCGAGTAAAGTGAAGAACACAAAATAACAGTGAGGTAGGTGTAGCAGTGTTAGAGGGAGAGAGCCATGTTTCAGTTAGAACAAGTTAGTTTGGGGAGTGTGACGAATTCATCAGCTTATTGTAATGTGTTTGATGGTATTTACCGTCCTGACAGGAATAGTTGAGCCCATCTACAGCCGTGCGCCCGGATACCTGATAAACCCAGCATTTCTAGGGACGCCAGCTGCTGCGGATCTATGCGGATGACGTCAGTGTGTGCGTGACGTCACACGCACGCACGTTTTGGGGTCAAAGGCCGAATACAGCCCATCAGAATAACAGGAGGGTTATTTAAACTTATTTTTACATTCTCTCATTGCTCTGTCGTGGTTTCTTTCTGATGGTAATCTGAGAGTGCGTTCCTGATCTTGATATTTTGGTATTTGACTTTGGCTTTGTTCTGAATTCCCTGATTTCTGGTATCCTTGACTTTTGGCTTTTTCTCATCGTTTTGTCTGATTCTGTTTCCCTGACCTCGGCTAGTATTCTGACTATTCTTGGATACGCTAAGTCCGGCCATTCTAAGGTCAGGTTAGACGTTATCCTTAATCCTAGGTGTGACACAATTCTGCATGCTGGATCAATTAGTAATCCTGACAGGCAGAGATGAAAAAGTCATGGATAGCAGTTGTTTTAGTGCATTCAAGAAGAGGACCTAAAGTGAGCGTTGCATGAAATGGGTATGAGATTAGTGTGGTTCCTGATGTTAGCACATGGTAGGTGTGACAAAATGCCTTTTGTCACTGGATTTTTATTTGATCATCTACCCTTTGCCCCTGGCTGTTGGAGGACCCTGATTGCCAGCCTCCTCCCTCATGACTATGGCCCTGGGGTGTATTGCCATTTAAAACGACTATTTGGGGCTTATTGGCTTCTAAAAGACTGTTTCTGCCCCTTTGAATACATGAGAAGGTGTGCCCCTACCCCGTTTTTCATGTCTATTGTTCTC